GAAAGAAAATAAACATTCATGAAATTAGATATGAGTTGAGTTGATATCATGATCAAAGGTCTTTCGTGCATGAAAGAACCAAAGCAAAGCTGCAATAATAAATGTAATCCCTAATACAACACACGCATAATTCATGTTATCCGTTTTAACGGGATCATATATTGGAAAGTTTAACCAAATTATTATAAAGAATGTCCAACAAGCGGCAATAGTATTCATGATCAAACCTAATTTACCTAAACAAAAGTAAGGTAAGTTTTTACCAATAGTGAGATTTGCACTTAATTCCTTATTATCTTCATTAGATTTAAATCTAACATATGGAGATAAGGAGAATTTTGATTTCCAAAGCATGCAAATAATTGGAAAAACATAAGACAAATTAATACAAACCATGGAAGAACCCAATACAGCAGATAAAGCTGTTGAAGAACCAAATATTATGGTTCCCAAAATCAACGTAATTATTGTAATAAAATTGAGTGAATTAACTGGAACTTTAAGCTTAGTATTTAATTTTCCAAAATATGATTTTCCAAATGGTAGACCACCTGCATTAGCAAAGGACCAGACCAACCGTGATCCAGAACAAGCATAACCAATATATGAACCCCAAAATGTAATAATTAATATTAAGACGCCGATTGTAGTTAGAGCTTTTGAATGAAATGCATCATCCATTAACTGTATGATTGGTTGTCCTCCAATAGGTGACGCCATATGATCAGGATTAACTATGCAATACATATAAGCTATAGCAGCTAAGAATGCGGCTATAGCTGAAAAGCAGTTAGCAATAACCATTACCAATGGGATATTTTTCTCTGGTTCAGGTATTTCATTTGTCATATGTGCTGCACCGTCAAAGAAGGTGACCGTTGCTATACTAGGAAGCAATCCAAGGAAAAACACTAAACCGTTAGAAGACCATCCAGTCTCATTCTGTACTTTGAGGAACACGTATTCAACGGAACGTTTAGGGTTTGCCTTAACGAGGAGAGTAATCACAATGAATAATGTACCACCGTTAATAACAAATACTAAGATATAATTGATCATCGGTAATAAAGCTATTCCAAACACATTAATAGCCCATCCAAGAGTTGTAAGTAATACATATATCAAATAATAGTGAAAGTCCTGCGGAATATAATTAGGATTATAAACCTCAGCCAACGCAATGATAAACATTGAAGTAGTATAAGAAACAGCAAAGCAAGCAAAGATCCACCCAGCACATGATAATATTCCAACAAAAAAACTCATCACTTTTTTTAGTCTCTTGGGTGCTAAGCAATATGTCCAATGAACTTGAGCAGATGGGTGAGGGTATGCTGATGCTAATTCGGCCAAGGAGAAACATATCACCAAATCACACCCTACTGCTAATATATAACCATATATTAGAAATGGCGACCCCCCTACACCTACGACAGTACTTAGATACGTTCCAATAGCAATGCTTGAACATATTAAAGAAAACTGAAACGCAATTGTACTCCATAAGCTGAACCGTTTTTCCAAAGCTGTATTGGAATCATAAATGCTGTCATGTTCAATATAATTGCCTTCTATCTCGATAGCTTCTAATTTTGATGACATTTTCCTTAGCTTGACATACCATATATTGTGGATCTGAACTTTATAATATATATAGTATATGCATGTCAAACTCCTTATCAGCGATCTATTAGCGCGATTGACGTATTAGGAAAAACCGCCAAACTATAATTTGATACGATTAGACTTGTAGTAACCCTGCAACTATGCACATTAGACTCATCTGAAATAGAAACATTAGATAAGGGGTTAAGTAGTATAATATATGGCTATATATCCTACTTCAAATTTATTTATATTATCAAAATGCCCCTATGAATGCTACTAATTAGTAGATTCATTTAGTCCTATCTTTTTCTGTGTAATCAAAAATAATTGGCCTCAAGGGAAAAGAGCTTAATTATTTCTTAGCACTTATTTCCCTATAATTATCTGTATTCATGGTAATACCACGTACCATGTTAAAAAGACGATTTTTTTATGAAAAAGATAATATGAAGCTCAAATATAACAGGTAATATACGAGGGGTTTCTAGCTCACTGCATATAACTTCAATTAGCTTGATGATATGTCAAGACGAAAGCTCTCATATTTGAGAGTTTTGTAATTCTACTTCAGAATTGTCAATGTATGACGATAGTTTCTATATAGTTCAACATGTGGCAAGTTAAATACTTCAATTTCGAATGGTTTACCTTTAGAAGTATTTTGTGTTTTTTCGAAGGTTGCATAGAGAATAGTCAAAAGACGAATGACATTTGTTGTTCTGACTCCGGTTTCGGAACAATCTTCCGTCTCGGTCTGTGACAATTTTTAGTCTGAGCTCACGCATCTCCGCAATGTTCATATGTAGTTCCAATTATAACCCTCACAGAAGAATCAAAATTTCGGTGAATTCTGGGGAAAAGTTAAATTCCCGCACCTGACTATGTGAATTTCAAATATGGTAAAATCCATATAGAAATCCTATGAATATGAATCGCGCTTGATGGGGAACATTGTTAAGTGGGTTAATCGGATATGGATTGCTAAGATGGATAATGTATTATTCAAAAAATGAAGACCGACAAGATTAGATAAGAATAATGATTAATATAAATACCATAGTGAAAACCTGTTTGTTTTTGAACAATAATCCTCACTGAATCATATCCATTTTTTATTATAATATATTATGGTTGCAGAACGCAAGAAAGATTATTGCTCTAATGAGGTATTGGAAGTGAATTCCAATATGGACATTGAAGATCAGGGTATAACAACAATTGTTTCTCCTCATACAGGTAAAGTGGTCAATATAACGGACGTGGACGAAGCAATGAAATATGTTGATAACGAAAAGGTGATTGAAATTGACGAAGAGACCAATAGGAAGATTCTTCGTAAAATAGATATGTGCTTGATGCCCATAATGTGTTTGTTATATTGCTTTCAGTTTATGGATAAGTTATCCAATTCTTTCGCTTCTATATTGGGGTTGAGAGAGGATTTGAATATGGTCGGTGACATGTATTCATGGACCGGAACGTCATTTTACCTCGGATATTTGGTTTTTGAATTCCCAGCTTCGATGTTATTGCAGAGGTTCCCTGTTGTCAAGACAGTATCTGTTTTTATTATTATTTGGGGAGTTATATTGTGTTTGCATTCTATTCCACAATATGCGGGTTTCATTGCGTTGAGAACAATATTAGGAATGCTTGAAAGTTCGGTCACCCCTGCATTTGTCATCTTGACAAGTCAGTGGTATAAGAAAGAAGAACAATTTATCAGAACAGCTTTATGGTTTAGTTGTAATGGAATTGGCATGATATTAGGCGCTGGTGCAATTGCATATAATGTTCATGCTGATCAAGCAAAGTATTCTTTGGAAGCGTGGAAGCTTATTTTCATCATAACTGGATGTTTAACAATTTTTTTAGGATTCATTATTATGATTCATTTCCCTGATACACCAACTAAAGCATGGTTTTTAAATGATGAAGAAAAGAGACTCGTTGTAGAAAGAATTAGAACCAATCAGCAAGGGTTTGGAAACAAACGCTTCAAGAAACACCAATTTATTGAAGCACTTATGGATATTAAAACATGGTTGTTCTTTATATTTGCAATTGCAAATAATATACCAAATGGTGGTATAACAAATTTTGGTAGCATTTTATTGACAGGGATGGGTTACTCTCCTGCCGAAGCATTATTGATGCAAATGCCTTCGGGTGCCGTTGAAGTTGTTGGATGTACCTTGTTGGCTTGTGGAGTTTTATTTTATCCCTATCGATTATTTTGGGCATCAGTTGGAAGTGCTATTGTAATTATATCAGAGTGCATGTTGGCATTCAGTTCCAATGTGAAGGTGCAGTATGCTGGCTTTTGTTTATATACATTGTCACCTATTGGATTTATTTGTTTGTTATCTATTATTGCTTCTAATGTGGCGGGCCACACTAAGAAGGTTACAACAAACGCTATTTACTTAGTTGGTTACTGTGTAGGTAATTTAATAGGGCCACAGACATTTATAGACAGGCAGGCACCTGAGTATACAGGTGCTAAAATATCAATTGTGGTGAACGGTTGTGTTTCTTTAGTGGTTCTTATTTTAATATGGTATGCTTATTGGGCGGATAATAAGAAGAGGGACGCCAGATCCAATAATGATAAAATTGTCGAACATCTTGAGTTTTCTGACTTAACTGATAAAGAAAACCCGGCCTTTCGATATGAATTATAGGTGTATTTGATTATTTGCAAACCAAAAAATCAAAAATCAAAATATATCGTCTCATTTTCAAGTCTCCATTGTAACTGTATCTTACTTTATCTTACGTTCATGAACTATAGGGTTATGAGTATCATTCGAAACATTGAAACCCCATTAATAGTGATTATTATCTAATCTGGCATTCATCTTGCGCGACTCAGAGTCACTGGTTTAATGCGTGGGTAATTTTAGATGAAGTAACAGTGAATTTTAGATTTCAACAAAACCTATAAAATGCTATATCAATATTCTACAAAGCCTTTCGATGTAACTACCGTGGAAAATGGAGTAAAGGTTGCAAATATTACCAATGAAGCCCCACATTGTGTCTCTTCCTTACCAATAACTACTACAGATTTTACTGTCTATAATTCAGATCTTTCTTTAATTATAGAAAAGCTTGAAAAGTACGGAGTATGTATAGTTAAGTCTTTGGTAGAAAGGGCGCAATGTGATAGTATTGTCGGAGAATTAGATCCTTATTTCTTTAGAGATAATGCTTGGAATGGATCGCCCTTCCCAAAAGAAACTACAGTGGTCACAAGAAGTGTTTTAAAATCATCTACTTCTGTAGATATTATACTTTGCAATGATATATTTGTACAACTTTCTTCAAAATTTTTGAGTGAATCAAATTATTTTTGGACAGGTAATCAAATTAAGGAAGGAAACAGTTATATACAGCTTAATTCATCAATTACGTACAAGGTAGGGCCTAATGCGAAAGATCAAATGTATCATCGTGAGGACATGATCCATCATAATATCCATAAGGAAAGCACTTCCTATACATATGGCTCAGAAACTCTTCTAGGATTATCTGTCGCCTTGACGGATACCACAAAATATAATGGAGCCACGAGAGTAATTCCGGGATCCCATTTATGGGGGCCAAGTAGGTGTCCGGATACTAATAAGGAAAATGTTTGCTATTTAGAGTTGGAAAAAGGAGATAGTGCATTTATGCTCGGATCTACTTACCATGCTGCAAGTTCAAATTCAACATTAGATGATAGAATCACCTCTTTTTATTTCATGACTAAGAGTTATCTAAAGCAGGAAGAGAATTATTTTTTGGATAAGAACATGGATCAATTTAAGAAATATTCAAATAGAGCCTTGAAATTACTTGGCTTAGACTTGAGTGAACCTTTTTGTGGACATATGGATTATCAAAACCCTATTACATTATTGACAAGCCAGTCAAATTTTGACGAATCGGGTATTAAATTAAGTAATAATAATTACACAGAAACAATATATCCCATATTTAGATAATGGTGCCATACAATTTTATAGAATAGAAAAGAATTGAATATTTTGAATTTAGAATAAAATTTATAGCCCGCTATAGAAACCTTATACATCCTGGTGGACAGATCTTTCATTGACAAATTTATTAGTAAGCTCAATAACATGTCTTTGTCTTGCTACTTCTACCTCCTCTATTTTTTCATCTTCATCATTATAATTTCCAACGGAAACTTTTCTTGGATTTTTTGCTTCAAATATTTTTTCTAACTCTTCAAGAGATTTATGTCTAGTCTCAACGAAAAAGAAATAAATAATAGCAAATTCAAATATATCCCAGAAGACGAAAAAAACGTAATACCAATATCCTATATTTTCCATAGCTTTGGGAGCTGAAAACTGGTTGACAAATGATGCGATACCCGAGGTAAGGTACACAACAATCATGCTACGCGACCTTAAAATATTCGATGAAACTTCAGAAGGGTAAATTGGTTGCATAGGTGTGAATGCAAATGAAAAAATTACACCAAAAAGGTATATAAAAACAAGTGTACCTGTTGAAGCGCCATTTGTTGGTGTGATATTGTATCTGGCTGTACATATAGCGAGACCCGATAACATCAACGATGAACCAAGAGTAGAAAACATGAACATTTTTCTTCTACCCACCTTATCGTGTGAAAATGACCCTAATATGGAGGCAAACCAACAAACAAGAGAGTAAATACCATTCATGAGTACATTAGTTGAAGCTGAAGTCATACCAACTTTGTTGAGCATTGTTGGAAGATAGTAAGATGCAACATTATTTCCTGAGAATTGTCCAAACCATGCCATTGCAATAACCAATCCGAGTCTGTATCTATCAGAACGTTTTGTGACTAAAGGTCTCATGTCAAGGACCTTAATAGGATCAGAAAGTTTCACATCATTAAAGGAGTCAATCATTTCTGCTATTTCAAGATCTACCAATGGGTGAGTTTCATCACCGTTACAGTGGTACTTGGCGATAATTTTTCTAGCCTCATCAACTCTGTGAACTCCAACCAACCATCTAGGAGATTCAGGAATAAACCAGCCAAATAATACCACTATACCAGGAAAAATTATTTGCAACCAGAGAGGAAGTTTGAATGATTTGGTAGAACCACGATAATTTAAATCTGCGCCATAAGCCGTGAATGCAGCTACAAGGGACCCCACATACCAAAGAGTATTGTAAAGACCAGCAACAGTACCTCTGAGATGTGAGGGAGCAATTTCAACACAATAAGCTGGAGCAGCGGCAACGGCAATAGTAGTACACATAGAAAGAAAAAATCTACCACCGATTAACGTTTTCGTATCTTTTGCAACTGCAGTAATCACCGCGCCAATACAAGCACCAATACAGCCTGTGAGAATTGCGACCTTCCTTCCCTTCCAGTCCATCAAGGAACAAAAAAAAGCTCCAACTATTTGTCCAATGTAATATATAGAGACAATAAGACCAGTGCCAGTTGAACTCATATCCAAATTGTAATACTCAAGGTAGTCTGGCAATGTATAAATACTACCCATTAAACTACCATCGAATCCATTCATGGTAGAACAGAAATAAACAATTAGGCAGCAACAATAAAGTGGTATCAATTGTCTACTGAGTAACTTAGGGCGCTCCACTTCTGAAACTTCAACAGGTTTCCCATCAACATCTAACGAAGGGATCGATTGAATACCAATTTCAACATTCTTTTCGTCTTTTCTATGTTCTACGTGCTCAATATCAGGCTTCTCTTTGTTCATTTTAATTTATTAATCTTTAGCACTTACCTTTTATGTACAGTTGCAAAAATCGTAACCCAGGCGTCCCTTCTGCTTGATTTTATATACATTCGTATATTTCGGTGATCAAAAATGTAATCATTCATTCGATTCCCAAAAATTCAATTAACCTAGGAGTTTTTGCTACATCTAATTTATCTTACGTGTTTGAAAAGAAATCGTACTTAGCGGCTGCATTTAGTACGTCAGTCCGCTCAATCTCCGCGTTCAATCACTTATTTTAATGCGAACGAAAGGCTCATACGGAAAAGATGCCTATTGTGGCAAGTAAAGGAACCACGTTACAGTGAAACAGTGAACAACCCCCCACATTTCATACCATAGTTACGTAAATAACAATAAAAGGTTACAATTAGGAAACTTGGCATTTAAAAATAACCACTATCATATATGAATTATGGGGTGACCCCGCGAAATTAAAATAAACAGAACCTACCTCAGAAGATGTTGTGAATTTGAGTACAACCTTGATTTATCCCAGCAATTACTAAGTTGTACCGTGAAAGCTTCCATATGTTCCCACTCCAGAGAGATATAAAAGATTTTAGATTAATAGTGTTCGAATTGCTTGATTTAACAAGCATCCAAATTGATATTTATATTGTTTAATCCTTTTAAGAAGTAATAGATATATACTCGACATGACAGATTATACAGCCGAGACACTAGAGTCATTACTTTCAAACCCAAGTATTGTCGAGATAAATAGACTTGATTCAAGAGCTTATTATTTACCGAGTGACTCAACATTGCGTCTTAATGGAAATTGGGATTTCAATTATTCGCAGTCCCCATTGGAGGCACCTTTGCCTAATGACGAAATTACAGAGTTTCCTAGTAAATTGACTGTTCCGGGTCATTGGCAACTTCAGGGGTATGGAAAACCACACTATACCAATATTGTTTTCCCATTTGCGGTAGATCCACCAAATCCTCCTTCACAAAACCCTACTGGTACTTACCGCCGTAGCTTTGTTGTTCCAGAAGATTGGAAATCGAAACCTTTTTTATTTAGGCTTCGCTTCGAAGGTGTTGATAATTCATTTCATATATTTCTTAACGGTAAATTGGTTGGCTATAATGAAGGTAGCAGAAATGCATCCGAATTTGATGTCACTAGTGATATCCTATTGGATGATGTGAATGTTTTATGGGTCAGGGTTTACCAGTGGTCTTCTTCCTCATATATTGAAGACCAAGATCAATGGTGGTTGAGTGGTATTTTCAGAGATGTCTACTTATTAGGGTTCGATAAAACCGGATTCATTGAGGACTTCAATATTGTTACCGATTTAGACGAGACGTATCTGAATTCAACATTGAAAATTATCCTGAGAATAAACTTCAATAACTTTAATTCTAGATTGCGTGTTTTACTAAAGCATGATGAAAAGAAAATAATAAATCAGTGCTTTGATTTAAAAGGCTCGAATTTTAATATGTCCTTCAAAGTACAAAATCCACTCAAATGGACTGCGGAATCTCCAAACCTTTATAAGCTTGAATTATCTGTTTTGGTTGATAATGAAGTTACTAATAAATTAGAGCAAGACGTGGGGTTTCGTAAAGTAGAAATAAAAAATGGAACATTAAGGGTAAATGGTAAATCTATATTAATAAGGGGAGTCAATAGACATGATCATCATCCTCAGCTCGGCAGAGCCGTACCGTTAGAATATATCAAGCGTGATTTATATATAATGAAAAAACATAACATCAATGCAATTCGTACATCGCATTATCCAAATCATCCAAAATTTTATGAATTAGCTAACCGCATAGGATTTTGGGTTCTTGATGAAGCCGATTTAGAATGCCATGGATTTTTTGAAGCAGTAAGAAAACCCGTTGGGGGCAATGACGACGCTGAATATGATGAAGAAAAATTACGCTTATTCAAATTGGCAAATAAGTTTACCTCCGACAATAAAGACTGGGAAAAAGCCTATGTTGATAGAGCATACCAGTTAGTAAAGAGGGATTTCAATCAGCCTTGTGTATTTTTATGGTCGCTTGGAAACGAAGCCTTCTATGGCTGTAACCATAAATCAATGGTTGCGAAAATCAGGGAATTAGACACTTCGCGCCCCATTCATTATGAAGGAGATCTTGAAGCAGAATCTGCAGACTTATATAGCAGGATGTACCCGCTGTTCCAGACCCTTGATAAATTTGTAAATCAATCTGAGAAACCATTGATTCTTTGTGAATATGGTCATGCAATGGGAAATAGCCCTGGTCTTTTAAGGCAATATCAGGATTATTTTTACAAATATGATCAGCTCCAGGGAGGATTTATTTGGGAGTGGGCAAATCATGGACTACTTGTAAACAAAAATGGTTACGACGTTTATTATTATGGTGGAGACTTCGGTGAATATCCTCATGATGGAGTTTTTATTATGGATGGGCTTTTAGATTCTCAACATAACCCGACTCCTGGACTAATTGAATATTCCAAAGTTATCGAGCCTATTATTATTAAAATCGACAAACATAAAATAAGTATCACTAACAAGTTTGATTTTATTGATTTGGATAATTATGCTGCTACATATGAAGTAGTTAATTACTCAGAATTAGATAAAACATTAATCAAATCCGGAGAGTTAAATTTACCTAAGGTTAATGCACAAGAAACGGTTGAAATATCATTACCAGAATATCCACAAAATATTTCAATTGGTAAAGACCTCTTAGAAGTTAAGTTTAAAACAATAAAGCTGACAGAAGCAGTTGAAAGTGGACACGTTGTATCATGGGCACAGTATGAATTGGAAACCTTTCCAAAGAAATCGGTTCGTCAAACTTACAATAGGAATTTGGTGGAGTTTCTTGAAGATAAATCCAAGTTTCAAATTAAAAGTTCAAACATAAATTTTTCATTTGACAAAATTTCTGGGTCTATTTCAAATTGGAAAAATGGTACAAAAAATCTAATTTCAGAGGGTATTAATGGATTAAGTTTCTGGAGACCAAGTATAAATAATGATGCGCCCGTGGACGAGCCATATTGGCGTCAATTTGGTCTTGATCATATGCAATGCAATATCAGAAATATTCACATAGATAGGTTTCCTGATTCCGAACGGATCGCTTTAATTAAAGTGGAGTCCTTGATTTCACCGCCAATTTTATCTTGGGGATTTAAAACTATTCAAGAATATTCAATTTATGCAAATGAGATAAAAATTTATACAAATTTGACACCAGAAGGATTTCAGGATATATGTATCCCTAAAACCATTCCGAGATTGGGATATGAATTTGAAATCAATGATGACTTAGGAAAACATGTCAAATGGTTTGGGAGAGGACCTGGTGAAAGTTATAGCGACAAAAAAGAATCGCAAAGGATCGATATCCATAGGTTACCATTTGAAAAACTTGACTATTCGTACGAATATCCACAGGAAAATGGTAATCATGAAGAAACTGAATGGTTACTATTAGAAGATGAGCATGAATCGGGACTTTATGTTACAATGGAAGGGAAAAAATTCGGGTTTAAAGCATCAGACGAGTATAATGTTCAAGAAGCCAAACATCCTCACGAAATAAAGCGTGGTTCGAGATATTTTAGGATCGATTACAAGCAACATGGAGTTGGTACAGGAGCATGTGGGCCAAGGGTTCTAGATGAGTTTGAATTCAAAATTTCCAAAGAAGACCCAATTATTTTTTCAGTTAATTTGAAAAGTTTGAAATAAGCAATACATCAACGAAATACTCATAATTTGTATCTGAAACTAACATTTTACATTAAGAATTTCTTATAATATAAGTAGGTTTATTTAGAAAGTTATATTAATATTTGTAATTAAAAATGCTAGAAATCGGTATCATGCAAAAGGGAAGTAAAGATGTCATAATTAAAAATCTTTGAGCTTAATCAATCCAATTTTGTATTATTGATTTATCCTCACAATATTGTTCTGCCAAAGAGGTCGCACATCTCCCTAACAATTCGTTCTCGAGCTCAGCATTATTACCAGCATAATATTCTTTTATTCTGGCTATCGATTGAGATCCTTGACCTTTTTTCTCACTACTCAAAGCCTTCAATATGTGTTGCCAAAACCCCTTTATATGGACGATTTTGTTCGTTCTATCTGCCTCAGAAAAGGTGACCCCCATAAAATCATCTTCAACTGTAGAATCCGAGCTTAAAACATGATCCCAATAGGCAATACTGTTCGGAATCAACACATTCTTCCCATCTTTACATATAGCAAGATTATCAGTCCATGGTTCTGCAACAACATTAAAGTCCATCAACGAGCTTACATAATCCAATGTGAATTCACCTGTTTCTAAATTTTTCGAGACTATGAAAGCATGCGGTCTATAAATTTCCTTCAAACATCCGCATTCGCTATTATGAGACCTTGCAATACCAAACCAGTATCTCCTAAAGAATAGATGTTTTGGTAAAAGGTCTGACGGTATTGGAACGAGGTTAGTCCCTCCCCTCAATGCACCAACATGCTTTGACTCGTCTGCTTTAGAATCTATAAAATTAGGTCCAGTAACCTTATCACACACACCATCAGAAAGTCCACACTTGATGACACGAAGAGGATTGAAGTTGTATATGAAATAAATATTGTCTGGATCGTTATCATCAAAAAATGGGGCCCAATTTTTCTCACGAAATCTTGGCTTTAAGTCTCTTAACGATAGTCTAATGGTATCATTACCATTAAAAGGTCTATAGAAATGCATAGCTCTTCTCCATTTGATCTCGGTACGACGCATGTTAAAAATAATAACAGGCTCTTCTTCTAATTCACCTTCATCGTTAATAAATCTTCTTAAAACAACGCGGGGATCTTCAGGACCCATTACAGAAAACTTGTTTTTTGGATTTTGATCTATATCAATTTTAACAAGTCCGGGATATTGAAGCACTGTACCATCAGCTAGTGAAATATTGAAGTCAGTTAATTCATTCCAATCACGGTCAAAAATTTGAACATCTATTAGACTGATAGTGGGTCTACTTCTTGCGCTCTCATGGGCATAAACTATTCTGTTAACAAAAAAGTGAACTTCATACTTGGATAGCCAAACACTGCTTCCACAGAATCTTGCCCATTTTTTTTTAAGGATATCTTCTTCAGATTCATCATCATTATCCAAAAAGCAGTTTTTCGCTATTGGATATTCGGATTTGGCCAATTCAAGTGCTTGGTTTCTCACTCTTCTTAAATCACCTTCAACGGAAACTGCTTGGCTTGAAGACATCTTATCACTGAATTGCACAGCATTACATTCAAAATCTTCCGTGGATTCGAATTGTACTTTTTCTTCTATGAAAGAGTACCCAGGAACATTGAATTCAGAGTACTTTAACCCTATAATATGCAGCGTTAAGGGTGATAAATGGAAATCCGATCCTAAATATGTCAGGGTGGCTAAAAGTCCAGCAGATAAGTAAACCCAGACATATATATTAAGGAATATCAAAAATCCCCCAAAAATGGTATAGAATAACTTAGTCCTTGAATGTAAACTTCTTATGCCTTGCGTCTTGACGGATTTCCATATGCTAAATCTATTGAAATAATATATTGTTCCAAATGCTAAGGCTAGAGTTAATGAGCCGTAAACAAAGGGGTCTTTTGTAAACTCAAAATTTATATGATCAGTAATCATAATGACTCTCTTTAATGCTTAGGATAAAATGAAACTAAACCAAGCCATTTGATGGACATTGAAAATCTATCAAAATGATGAAGTTGCCTGCTTTTTACTATGCGCCTCGTTTTTCGAATACTGCACATAAGGTATCCAATGAGCCTTTCAAAAAAGTTTTGAACCCTAAAACGAAAGATAAGAGATAGATATTCATCGTAGATCATAGAAAAGGCTGACGACTATAATTTTATTCAAAGGTATCTCTTTAAACCCCAACGTGTAGACAGAATAAAGTGCATTCAACGTGTGGAAGACCCTTTGTGCTCAGCCCTCGTGGGCTTAATAATTGATTCAATTAATCCGACTCACAAGGTTAGTTGCGAAAAGTCGTTCAAAAACCAAATATGATATTATCAAAACGGCTGAGCTAGTATTGCTCTATCAGCTAATTACTTCCAATTCTCGCGAATAAATTCGTAATTTTCGCTGGAGTTGGTGCGAACTCAACAAAATAATGTATTATTGAGATACTTTTTCAACCACAGAGCAACCGCTTAAATTATCGTTCATTTATGTTTCTTGAAGATGAAAGATCCTCTTGAAATTTAAACTCAGCAAAATATTGATAATCGACATTTTTGTTGAAGTTTCTTTGTTTTGTTATCTAGACATAGCTACACATGACAGATCACGTGAAACAAGCCAATCAAAAAGAAGTAAAAGATTATTACTGAGAAATATCTGGCATAATATGTAATGTATATCCTGATTTAACAAATGGTACATGTACATGTTACTGATATCCATATATATGAAGAAGAAATTACTAATAATAAGAATAAGTAGAATGATATTACAACTAAAAATAAGTAGAATAATATAATATTTCACAAGCATAGTTTATTGTGAAGTTAATCCCATCAAAAGAAATGACTGAATTGCTGATTAAATAGAAATGGTAATTTATTTGTAGGTACCGCATTATTCTTCGGCTACTCGTATCGCCTACTTCATCCGTTGATTTCCCCTATTTTACCCGAAAGTTGATCTGGTGTATTCGTACTCAATTTACCAAGATCTTGTATTATATCAAGATAGTGCAAGTATATGTTTAGCTTTGATTACACGATGAATGAAAATTACAATTGTACAGAATTATATAGAGTAAAAAAGGAAATTGTCGCTTATGTCGCTTGTTGTGCTTCAGGAGAAGATATTATTCTCTCCGGGCCACTAGTTACCTACTTTTTCCGCATAGTGGTCTGATTTTTTATACCGAGTCCACCAATAATAATGCATGATTTGTAACTTATGCAATTATAATCATGTGGATTTTGCATATTGTACGACGAGCGAAATGCCCATATGCGAGATGAAATCTATATAAATTGGCAGCTGGTACGATTCTCTATTGCACCTAGGAATATTAACCAGACAAACAAAATGAAAATTGACACTCCAGTAATTTACCACATTAGAGAATTAACTCCTCGTGAAAAGGAATTAGTTAAAGCATCCGTTCCAATTCTCGAACAATCAGGCGAAGTATTGACTTCCAAGTTTTACAATCATATGCTCACTGATTTTCCAGAGGTTAGGCCTTTCTTCAATGAATCTCATCAAAAGACCTTGAAGCAACCTAAAATTTTGGCGTTTGCTTTGTTGAATTACGCTAAGAACATCGATGACTTGGCTCCATTAACAGCATTCGTAAACCAAATAGTTGTGAAGCATGTAGGTTTACAAGTTAAACCAGAGCATTATCCTATTGTTGGTAAATGTATTTTAGATACGATGAGTGAGTTATTGGGTCCCGATATTGCGACAGAAGAATTCTTAACTGCTTGGGCAACTGCTTATGGTAACTTAGCCCAGATCTTAATTAATGCTGAAGCTGAGAAATATAGAACAATGGAATGGGATGGCTTTCGTGATTTCAAAATTTCACGTATCGAGAATGAATCGAAAGACGTCAAGTCCATTTATTTCAAACCTGCAGATGGGGGGAAAATTGCTATGCCAAAGAGAGGGCAATATGTTTGCATTAGATTCAAGTTACCAAACTCAGAAACAGAGAAGAGTAGGGAATATTCTCTTTCGCAATATCCAAGCTCCGATGAATATCGTATTTCTGTTCGTCTAGTTGAGGGTGGTCAGATTTCCCCTTTTATACATAACGGTTTGCAAGTCGGTTCTACTATCCATGTTAGCCCTCCAGCGGGCCAGTTCATATATCGTGAATCTGATGTTGCTAAGCCAGTGGCCTTATTCGTTGGAGGTATTGGTATTACCCCATTAGTTTCAATGACTGAAAAAGCTTTAGAAAGCGGTCGTCAAGTCTACATGCTCAACTCCAATAGACAAATTGAAACAAGGCCTTTTACCCAGTGGTTACAAAGTTTGAAGAAAAAATATGGCGATAAATTCAAGTTGATAGAATTTATCTCCAATGAATCCGATAAAAGTATTCAAGCTATTGATAAATTAGAAACTCGTAGACTAGAAACTCAAGATTTTGAATTTGTTAAGCCAGAATTTGATTATTATATGTTAGGACCTAACCCTTACATGAAATTTGTTAAGGAGGAATTGTTAAGGAGGGGCGTTGAAGAGTCGGAAATCGCTTCTGAATTTTTTGGTCCTATCGAAGTGTAATGAAAGCACGCTATAAGATTAGTTACATTTATATAGTTATTTTACTCATGAATGAATGTTATTAAAAATTTGATGTAGTCTTAGTCGATTTTTGATCTGAAGGTAACTCGGGTTGGTTCTTAAATGAAAATACAGCGTGTTAAGAAATCAATATATACGAGAGAGAGTGGAGTTTGGGGGGCTTTTATCTCCACATATGATGGAACTCTTTCTCAATGTCCAATATATCACTATATAGAGAGCAATTGTGACATATACAACAGATACATAATTCATGGAATCTGCTGCTACTGGTAGAACATAGGGAAATGATAGAAATATTAGACAAAATAATGTCCAGATTAGGGTCATAATATTAGAAATCAAGCCTATTTTTCCCAACCAAAAGTAGCCCTCCTTCACCTGATGTCTACCTCTGGCTAATAAACATGCCGTTGGGATAGAGTAGGATATTAAAAGCAACGTTATACACGCCGTAATTATGGCATTAAATGCTGTACTAGAAGCAAGAAATATACAACCGATAATGCCTATCCAAAAATTGGATATCAAGTGTGCATTTATTGGGAGTCTTGATTTTTGATTTATGATCCGCCAATATTTTGACCCTGGTAAACCTCTATCACGAGAAAATGACCAGCAAATCCTTGCTTGCCATGTGTTAGCAACAATATTGCAAAGAAATCCAGTAGTTATGCATAAACTCTGAAGTACAATCGCAGCTGATTTGCTTTTGGTAGATTGGTGGAAAATTTCTAATATTGGCAATATTGCTTCAACTACCTTATTCGGGTCGCTAATACAGAAAAACATTGAAATAGAATATATGAATGCAGTGACAAAGCCTAAGACAACAGTACCCAATATCGCACGAGGTATGAGGATTCTGGATCTAGAAATGCCTAACTCATCTACCATATGTGTTGCAGAATCAATGCCCACGTAGGACCAAAGTGGATTTACTAAGCCCACGATAAAGCCTATTCCTGGACTTTTCCAACCTGTTGCATTATCAAATTCTTTGAAAACAAAGTTAGCCAGCTGATAAGCACCACTGGAACATGATAAACAGGCGACTAATGTGATAGCAAATGTAAATATTGATACGTATAAGGCTGAGGATGTAAATAATGGCAAGTATCTATCCCACAAATTGAATATTGATACGAATAAATTTAGGATTTCGTAAGTCACAAAAATATGCCAGCGTTTTAAGTTGAAAGTTGGATGGCATAGGTCGTATATAGCCATTATACTTGTTGCAAGGCCAGAAGTAATTGATGCGTTAGTAAATAAGGCACCTGCATAGCTTAAACAGCCACAGCTATAAGATAGGAATCGTTTATGCTTATTGGGAGCTAAGCATAAAGTCCAATAATATTGTCCACCAGAATTTGGGAAAACAGATACCAATTCAGACAATGTGATTGCAACAGCTAAGTTGAAAATAAAACCAATTAGAAGCCCATAGACAATTAATGTTGGTCCTCCAGAAGATATTCCAGTTGCAAGAGAAGAAGATATCCCAAGCCAAGAATTAGTTAACCCAAAACTGATGCCGAATAGTGACCACCATGTGAAGTTTGTAGATAATTCAGTTTGGTTTTCATCAATCTCAACTTCGTTTGAAGTTTCAAATGCAATATTTTTTGATAACTCCATATCAGATTATGAAGAGTGTGATAAAATTTCCTTAGGCCATAATGAAATATATTTTTACAAGCAATATTGAACTTATTTATAGGAATTTGCAGTGTGAGTAAAAGTTTAAATTTATTATGATGACTATGAGTCAAAAGGTTGCAGAATTAGCTCGGGGTACACGAACTTGAGAGACATACATTTTTACTCAATATAAATCTTCTAATTTAGGTACCAAAGGTAACAAACTGTCTATCAGAATAAGAGATAAATCTACTTCTGGAACTTGTAAGAGTATTGGAATATCCTTAGCAAAATGTTTTATCGCAGCGGCGTTATCAGCATTTAATTTTCCATTGAGTATGATTCCTAAAATTTTAATATTTCTGCTTCTCAAATGTTCTATACTCAAAAGAGTGTGGTTTATAGTACCCAATTCGCTTCTTGCAACTAATATAACAGGATAATTTAGCTTATGAATTAAGTCTGTAATAATCATTGTTTCGTTAATTGGAACAAATAAACCACCTGCGCCCTCCAATACTAAAGGCCGACCACTTTCACTGAATCTTTGTGGAATTACAAGGTCTTCTATAGATACAGTGGCATTTTCTAAAATGGAAGCCCTCCATGGAGATAATGGTTCTTGTAATTCGATCTGCGGAGGTTCAAAATGACTGTCTGATAAACCAGTGAGATGTTTCACCGTAACTGTATCAAGTTGACAAGAGTTTAACCCAGTTTGAATAGGTTTCCAATAATTTGAACCCCAAGCCTTAACTAATAAAGCAGAAATAAATGTTTTGCCAACATCTGTGTCAGTCCCTGTGATGAAAACTCCATCCATCCTTAGTAAGTAGTAACAGATTTTTACAAGAGGACGTCTTACTCTCCAGATAACACAACGTCGCACAACCATGACTCGGAGTCATCTATACTCACTTCTGGGCTACCATCTCATTCCAGATCTCGTTGAGTCATTTTTTGAATCATCTTTTCTCGATATAGAACTACAACTAAATAGCCTTATCAATTTTTAATTTTTACATCTAGATAGTTCATATGAATAGTAACCATATAAAATGGAAGATATAGATTTGGAGTTTGACAGGAAGCACATATGGCATCCTTATACTTCAATGGTAGATCCATTACCATGCTATCCTATTCAGTCAGCTAATGGTGTATATATAAAGACATCGGATGATAGGGAATTAATTGACGGCATGTCGTCTTGGTGGTGTGCAATTCATGGCTATAATCACCCTATCTTAAATCAAGCCTTATTGGATCAAGCGTCTCGAATGTCGCATGTTATGTTCGGTGGCATTACTCATGCACCTGCCGTTAATCTTTGCAAGAGGCTCATTAAAATGACACACCCCAAATTAGATTGCGTTTTTTTAGCAGATTCGGGTTCTGTTGCGGTCGAGGTTGCATTAAAGATGGCTTTGCAATATTGCCATTCAAGAGGTCAGTTTTCAAAAAAGAAATTTCTAACTATAAAAAATGGGTACCATGGCGATACCTTTGGCGCAATGTCAGTGTGTGATCCTGTTAATTCAATGCATACTTTATATACTGATTATGTTTCCTCTAATCTATTTGCTGAAGCACCTCAGCTTCAATTTAGGGATAATTGGAATGAAGGCGATATAGAAAGCTTCAAGACATTGATTCAAGAAAATCATCAAAATATTGCTGCTGTAATATTAGAGCCAATTCTTCAAGGCGCAGGAGGAATGAGAATCTACCATCCTCAATACCTCAAGCGAGTAAGGGAATTATGCGATACTTATAGTGTTCTTTTAATTCTCGATGAAATTGCTACTGGGTTTGGTAGAACTGGAAAATTGTTTGCATACGAACATGCAGATATTTATCCAGATATTCTTTGTCTAGGTAAAGCAATAACCGGGGGATACTTGACTTTATCAGCTGTAATTACCACAAGAGAGGTAGCAGATACAATAAGCTTAGGAAAAGCTAAATGTTTTATGCATGGCCCGACTTTTATGGGCAATCCTTTGGCTTGTCATGTTGCGAATAAGAATTTGGAAATTTTGGAACAAGGTAATTGGAAAGTTCAAGTTGATAAAATCGAAAGACAACTTTTATCTGAGCTTCTTCCTCTAAAATATATGGGATGTAAACTAGTAAAGGACGTTAGGGTGCTAGGGAGTGTTGGAGTGATAGAACTCAATTCTGCCATTGACATGGTTGCTGCTCAGAAACAATTCGTTGATTTAGGTGTTTGGATTAGACCTTTTGGGAGATTAGTATACATTATGCCACCTTACATTATATCCGAATCAGACTTGGCTAAGCTTATTAGTGCAATGGTTTTTGTGGTTAAAAATAATTGTTAAAGTATTAGTATAGATTCAACAGAGTGCGACCTTTTGCAGTAAATGTTCGTGGTATTTGTAATTCGTTCGTGTATTATCATTTCTCGGATTTAATTCGCACCTAAGAGCTGTCAACTCGAAAGGGCTCGGAGTTCAACTGTCAAGTTCGGTTATAAACGAATTCTCGGATAATCACCGAATTACTCATAAATGAACCTTTCTATAAAAGGTGGCAGAAGCGAACATGGTATATGGGAGATGAATTTATAGTAGTCAAGTAGATATGAGTAATGGAGATGATACGAGAAACTCTGCAAAAATCGATGAAAATTTATATCCTGAAGAAATAGACATCCAAAAACGACTATTTTCTTTCTTGTTTTCCAAAAAAATTCCACCTTTACCATCATACGATGAAAGAAAACTTTACCCTGAACATAATGCTAACTGGGTTTCGAGAGTATTTTTTTGGTGGTTAAATCCCATTATGTCTGTTGGGTACAAAAGAACTTTACAACCCCAAGATTTGTTCGTGTTAACTAAAGATATGACAGTTGAAGAAATGACCGAGAAATTTACTTCACAATATCAAGCAAAATGTGAAAATTATTCAAAGGCTAATTTAGACAAAAAAAATCACAAGGAAGGCGAAATATCTCCTAATTATATTTGCGCCCAAACCTTATTATTTGTTTTCTGGAAGCCTTTTTTGTTATCATGTATTTTCATGACTTTATCAGGAATTGGTTCAACCTTAAATCCATTACTTTCTAAAAAATTGATCACTTTCGTCGAAAAAAAGGATAGCGGAGCTGAAAACTCAACTGGAAAAGGGATTGGGTATGCCTTAGGTACGACTGGAATTCTATTTGTGTGCGGTTTACTCCAAAATCATAGTGTACAGAAGGCGATGATAGTTGGTGCCAAATGTAAAGCTATACTAACCAAAGCTATTATCGATAAATCTTTCAAATTAAGCCTTAAATCCAAACATCTTTATCCATCAGGAAAAATCACATCAATGATGGGAGCAGATTTAGCAAGAATTGATTTGGCAATCGGTTACATACCAGTATTAATATCCTGTCCGGTCACTGTTATTATTGCTATAGTAATACTTATTATAAATATTGGGGTTTCGGCACTTGTTGGTGTTGCTCTACTAGTTATATTCGTGGTATTATTGACATTCTGCACTAGTAAATTGATAAGAATAAGACGCTATGCTAATAAATATACAGACCAAAGAATCCGTTATATTCAAGAAGTGTTGAATAATCTAAGAATGATTAAATTTTACTCTTGGGAGTTACCATATTTCGATCGAATTGCTGGTATTAGGAGGCTAGAAATGAAAGCAATATTTAAAATGCAAGCATTAACGAATATTGTTACGGCGATGGCTATGTCATTTACTACTATTTCATCAATGGTTGCTTTCCTTGTGCTTTATGCCCTTAGAAAAAACAATAGAGGCCCAGCAAGTATATTCTCATCACTTTCGTTGTTTAATGTTTTAGCACAACAGGTGTATGTACTTCCGCTAGTACTTTCTACTTGCGCTGATGCATATGTGGCATGTACTAGAGTTCATGAGTACTTATGTTGCGAAGAGACAACATCATCAGAACAAAGTTGCTATCTCGATGAATCAAGGAAGATTGAAATGAACAAAATAAATGCTGCTATAGTAATGAAAAATGCTTCATACAATTGGAAGTCATTTGATAATAATGATGAAGAAATCATACCTGAAAGTCTGAGTGATTGTTCTATTGAAGTCAAAGTAGATAATGAACGCAAAATATTTAACGGTTTGAAAGATATCAATTTAACTATTTACAAAAATGAATTTATTGTAATAACAGGATTAATAGGCTCAGGAAAAACATCATTTTTAAGTGCTCTTTCAGGTTTAATGAATAGAAGTTCCGGATCAGCTGAAATAATGGTACTTTATTATTCTGCAGTCAGCCTTGGATTCAAAATGCTACATTAAGAGACAATATTCTTTTTGGGAGTGAATTTCATGCGGATAGATATGAACGTGTGATGGAGGCGTGTTCCTTATCTGCTGATTTAAAAACTTTATCAGCCGGGGACAAAACAGAAATTGGGGAAAGAGGAATAACATTATCTGGTGGACAAAAAGCCAGAGTAAACTTGGCTAGAGCAGTTTACGCTAATCGTGATATAATTTTAATGGATGATGTTTTGAGTGCAGTTGATGCAAAGGTTGGTATAAGTATCATGAATAAATGCATTTTAGGGCTATTAAAACATAAAACAAGAATTTTGGCCACACACCAGCTTTCACTTATTGATTCAGCTGATCGAATCATATTTTTAAATGGAGATGGTACTTACGAAATTGGTACATTTAAAGAATTACAACTCAACAATAAGCGATTCGTTGAACTAATGACCCATAATTCTTTCAATAATAATGAAGATAAGGTAGAGGATGGTAACACTGGAGATCTTGATTTCGTGAAAAATACTAGCAAGGATAAATCATTACAGGCATCAGAAGGAAAATTAATAGGAAAAGAAGTACGAGCTGTTAATAAACTTAGTTTACAGATTTACAGGAATTATCTAAAGTTTGGATCAGGAGTATTAGGAATGTTAGGTTGGTGTGCGATTTACTTTTCGAACACTATATTTGCAACATTTTCGCAATTATTTTCTAATGTATGGTTATCTTTCTGGGTCGATCATAGGTTCAGTAAGTCTTCTAATTTCTATATTGGTCTTTATGTTATGTTTTCAATTTTATCTGTGATTTTCTTGGTTATCGAGTTATTAAGCCTTGTTTATTTAATTAATACCGCCTCCTTAAAGTTGAGTTTAATGAGTACGAAGAATATTTTACATACAACAATGTCGTTCTTAGATACAACTCCAATCGGGCGAGTTTTAAATAGATTTTCAAGAGACACAGAAATTTTGGACAATGAAATTGGGAATCAATTAAGAATTACAAGCTATTCGCTTTCTACTATCATCGGTGTTATAATATTATGCATCATATATTTGCCATGGTTTGCAATCTCTCTTCCACCCTTAGCCATTATATTCACTTTCATGATAAGCTATTATCAGGCGTCTTCAAGAGAAGTTAAAAGATTGGAGTCGGTACAAAGATCGTTTGTGTATAGCATATTTGGAGAGATATTAGGTGGAATGGAAACTTTAAAGATATATCAAGTTGAAGATCTGTTCAACAAGAGATTAAGCAAGCTGATCGATAATATGAATGAGGCTTATTTTGTAACTATCACTAACCAGAGATGGCTAGGCATACATTTAACATTAATTGCATCTGTTTTTGCTCTCATAATAACGATTTTATGTGTACAATCGGTATTTAATATTAATGCTTCATCAGTAGGGTTGTTGCTATCATATATCTTGCACATAACTACCCAACTAGTTCAACTAATGAGATCCATTACAAGAGTTGAAAATGAAATGAATTCAATGGAGAGAATAAATGATTATGCAGTGAATTTGGTTCAAGAGGCACCATACGAAATAATTGAGACTACACCAAAGCCGGAATGGCCATCTAAAGGGGAGATTCAGTTTGAGAATGTTTCTATGCATTATAGGGAAGGTTTGCCATTAGTATTAAATGATTTGAACTTTAAAATACAACCAAATGAAAAGATAGGGATATGTGGTAGAACTGGAGCAGGAAAGTCATCAATTATGACGTGTATGTTTAGGTTAAATGAACTTCAACAGGGCAAGATTTTTATTGATAAAATAGATATTTCGTCACTTGGACTTCGTGAATTAAGATCTAAATTATCTATTATTCCACAAGACCCAATTCTTTTCTCAGGCACTATTAGGAGGAATTTAGATCCATTCAATGAAGCAGATGATAAGATCTTGTTGGATGCATTAATGAAAGTGGGCCTAATAAATGTGTCTGAAAGGGAAATTATGTCACTGAGCTACGAATATGATTTACGTAGCAAGTTTCATTTGAATCATATTGTAGAAGAGGATGGCACTAATTATTCGCTTGGTGAAAAACAGTTAATTTCATTTGCTAGAGCGTTGGTAAGAAATAGTAAAATTCTCATCTTGGATGAAGCTACATCATCAGTAGATTATGAAACTGATGCAAAAATACAATCAACAATAGCCAAAGATTTTAAAGATTGTACCATATTATGTATTGCACACAGGTTAAGAACCATTATTCAATATGATAGAATTTTAGTTCTTGACAAAGGCAATGTCAAGGAATTCGATAAGCCATTGGTATTATTCAAACATAAGGGGATCTTTAGAGAAATGTGTGATAAATCAAACATCATCGAAAGTGATTTTGTAAATCAAGCAGAAGAGAACGGAGAGAGTTAAAAAATAGTTAACAGACTCGTATATAATCTATATTATTGATCCTACAATGATAAATTAAGCATCGAATCGTTAAAATCACATATTGAGTTACTATATATTTAGAAATAATTAATTGATAATTACCGTTAAAAATTTTTTTTAAGCACTACGTGACTTATAACAAAGTTTGACCTAAAGCACATCTTCCAATAGCACAAGCAGCGCTGACAGTATCTAATACATGGTTGTCATTTTCTCCTAATAGAGGGTTTGTCTCAACAATATCTAAGGAAGACAATAACCCAGTCTCCGCAACTGCTTCTGCAACAAATAGACCTTCTCTTAACGTCAAACCACCTTCCACTCTGGTACCGGTTGCAGGTACAAACGATGGATCAATTGCATCAACATCGTATGATAAATGAATCGGGCAATCTCTATTAGGGTTAATTTTGTCCAACGCCATATCAATAACCTTACCAATACCATATTTATCGACATGATACATAGAGAATGCCGCTATGTTGTTTTCTTTCAAAATACGCTTTTCTCCCTCATCTACATCTCTTAAGCCTATGTACGCAATTTTGTTGGCTTTCAACAACTGAGGCACCCAGCTGAATTCCTTTGGATATGAATCACTATCCAATCCCATGACAAACGACAAAGGACAGCCATGCAAGTTACCCAGGTCTGTTGTCTTAGGCGTATTTATATCCGCATGTGCATCCACCCATAAAATGCATGTATCTGGGTTGTGTGCCAACATGGCACTCACAGTGGCCGTACCAATAGAGTGATCTCCACCCACGGTTATAGGCAATCTTCCATTACCTGCAATGCTTTTGACGGAGTTATGAATTTTTTCACAGCATTCGCTCACAATCTTGGTATTCTTGATACCATATTCATCCTTGTCATCGCTTTTACTTTTCTCGTAATTTGTACTCTCTAACGGGTTTTCTAATTCAACATTCCACCCTAACGACTGAAGTTGCTCCTGAAATCCCGCCTTTAAAATATATTCCGGTCCTAATTCCACTCCACCTTTTGGTTGTCCACCTGAAAAAGGTGCCGTCACAATAGTGGCTTGTTTCTTTGGATGATATTTGAATTCAACTATTTTGTTAGTCTCGTTTCATTTATTATATTCCTCACTAATTAATACATACCTGACATATTTAACTTTACTCTTTATAATAAAACTAAAAATAATAATTCCAGGATTATTCGAGGAGACTAGCCAGTTTATATATGGGATTTCAATATCTTTCGTTTACATTACTAAGGACAGTTGATACCGAGACGTATCAGGACCATCGCCGTTTATTTCCATGGTCCGAAGATTCTGCTTATATGAGAAGGTCACACCGATGCCAATAAAATTCGCGGTGAAATGCTACTTTTGTTTGATTCTTGACCCCATCTTCTTTAAGATGTGTCTGAGATGTCGTTAATCAATAATATTATACTCGTCTTGTCATGCAATAATAGTTGTTTCTTCCTCGAAAAACTCCACATTAGGTATTTTGGAGTTCAACTAGGTATTGTTAAGGTCTTTTATTCTTATTGCCGCTTGTTGCCAAATTAACCACGGGGCGAATCAAATTTCCTTGTTAGCAACAATACTACTGGAGGTTAATCGTGACGTACAATATGAACCATCAAATGTAAGAGTTCGCATTGATTACGTGGCCAACCCTTTTAGGGTGGTTGAAAGAATCGAAACAAAAAGGAGGGGATAAATTGAATTTAAAGATCCATTTATGGACTAAAATACATAATAAATGCGAAAGAGCTAGGTTACCCCATGGAAGTATGCGTCTTTGTAGTTGGACTACGTCATGATCTCAAGACAACGAGTCCGAGGAGATACATATTCTAATATCGTTTAAGGCCATGTTTAGTAGTTTATACAATCTAGTTACATAAGCCATATATGAAACTTTTACTTGAATAGAAGCGTTTGAGGTATATGTAGAATGGATGAATGAATTTAGTCGCATACTTGTTTCCATGTAATTGTAATACTCTGCCACTTCGGACCCTACTACCTTATAATATAAACACTTGATACGTTGGCACACTGCCACTCGCTCGGAAGTAATGGAAACGTTCCATAGATTCCTGTATGCGAGTGACTCCCTCATCGCATTACACGTGTAAACTGACACAAGCAACAGGTAATAATGGGGGAAGAAAATGTTATACGTTGATTTGGTTAATTCCTTCTACACGTGTATGGTAAGATATAACTGTGTATACTAGCATTGATTTGACTTAATCCCATCGATACCACAGAGAGAGGTGACTGCTTGGTTGTTTTTAATTCCTACTTTTGCTTACTGATAATTTACCTATTCCTTTAATCGCCCAATACATGCTACTCAATAATGAAGTTTGGTAAAACATTATTAGGTCACCAAATACCGGAGTGGTCCATATATTATATGAATTATAAACACTTGAAGAAAATAATCAAAAGCATTGATGAAGCCTCAGATTTTGAAGATGATAAAATTGCAGACTTGATCTCAAACACACTTTCTGAATTCTTCTTCGAGTTAGATCGTGATATCGAAAAAGTTGACGAGTTTTACAACAACAAATATAAAGAATACGAACGTCGTTTATCGAAAATTGTATCTGTATTAGGATTTAGTGATAATAAGATTACTCGTCAGATTGAATCCAACGATGATTTGGATGAAATTATTTCTATATTGCTCGAGTTAAGGACTATTTACCGTAATTTGAAGTGGTTCGGTGAATTGAACCACAAGGGGTTTGTTAAGATTTTGAAAAAATTAGATAAGAAATTATTGTATTTGCAGAAGTCGTACAATAATCGCTTGGCAGTTGGGGAAACCCCGATTCAATTGCCAAACTATAATAAAGAGACCTATTTATCCACCAGAGTTAATGCTTTGCCATTTGTGAATAAAGGTGAGTTATTAGGAGGGTTAGATACGATTAACAATATCTTAAATGAACTAGGGGAAATTCAAATTAGTAACGATAGCTTGACTGATCAGCTAGATTTTTTGAAAATCGGAAACAGGCGTTATTCCCTTGACCAAGAATTTTTGAAGCAATTTGATAAAGTGATTGAAAATGATGATTCCTCAAACATTCATACTGAATTGAGTAAAATCACTCCAAATAAGTTAAACCTGAGATTTTTAATTTCGTTATTAAGTAAAGCATGTTTGAGTAATTCGCTCAATTGTATTGACTACTTATTTAATTACTTGATTAAATTTAACCAAAATCAAAACCTACCTACTATCAATTCATTATTTGATCAGTATGATATTAGTGGCCGTAATTTTTTTCATCAATTCATTGTTAGTTTGGGCAAATCTCAAGTTGCAAATGAAAAGAAAAGAAACCTGCTTCTTCCTGGCGAGTCGTCTAAAATAACTAGGCTTTATGGTAACAAAGGTGGCCCCGATGGTATTCAACTTAATCCTATTAGAACTGATGGTATTCAGTATATAATGAATAAAATTGACTCTGAGGATTTCGAATTCAAAAAGTTGATTATTGCCAGAGATAACTACTCAAGAACTCCTTTGCATTATGCTGCTCAGTACGGTTTAAAGGATATCTCTCAACTTTTGTTGGATTATTTAAAAAAGTGGAGCTTGATCGATAAGAATGTCCCTATTGATGATGTGCATTATTGGGGAGATCAAGAGGGACTAACACCCATTCATTTATCAATTATAGGTAAGCATCCTAAAACAACTGATAATTTGATTATTTACAGTGCTATTCAAGGATTGACTTGCCCTAATTTATTATTGCTAGCTGTGAGATTGAATTGCCTTGAAATCTCACAAAACTTAATCAGAAAGAGCAAAATTAGTGTTGACTATACTGATTCACAACATAATAATGAAACAGCCTTGTACATTGCTGCAAAATTGAATTATGCAAATATTGTTGAATTTTTATTACAAGAGGATGCAGATACAGAAATATGCGAGGCACTTTTTGGTTGGACACCGATTTTCATTGCAGCATCGGAGGGGTTTAAAGATATTGTTAACCTTTTGATAGATTATGGATGTAAAATAGATACTGTTGATTATTCAGGTTGGTTCCCAATGGAACATGCAAGCTTAAGAGGCCATTTAGGGGTTGCGGATTTATTGAAACCAGAAAATGAACAGTTATTACTACATGATATCTATAATCCTTCGAATAATTTAGAGAGATTTTCTAACGCCTCGTTGAAAAGTCCCTCCACTATATATTCAAACAATTCAAAGGATGAATTGGCACTTTCAGCTAGTAGCATTGATAAGTTACCAGAGCCAAATAAAGCTGCAGTAAATGAAGTTTATAAGCAATTGAAGCAACTAGATTCAAACGGGCCTACTAATGGAACAGTAAGTCCCAGATCGAGGTCACCAACAAACAGAAAAAAATTTAAACCAATTAAGTCTTTTGGCCATCGTTATTTAAATCCTGATGAATCATTACTCTTGATTACTTTGGGTACAACTGATTTAAGAGACAATGATCCACCTATTGAGCTAAATAATATTTCTATGGCCAAGAGCTTTTTCACAGAATTAGACACAGCATTATCATTATGCATTACTTGTCGTAACAGAAATGATTCTCTGAACGAATTAATTGAGCCTCCAATGATTATTGATTTACCATTGGAAGACCACCATGGAAGTGCGACAGATCCTTTGACTTTTAAGTTGACTGATAACTTAAATCCAAATGATGTCATAGTTACATTTGATATTATCCCAACTTATCAATATCCAAATAGTAGAGAGTTAAGTGGAATTACTCCAAACAAGAAACATCAAAAAGTTTTAGGTAGAGCTATGGCCTTTTTGAATGATGTATACACAAATGTTGGGCCGAATCTAAGATCTTTGAACAATAAAGTATCTGTGCCGATTTTCGAATCTAACACTTTGGATTTGCTAGGTAAAATTAGATTTGAATACTTGTGTGTCAAGCCATTTTCTCACCCTTCAATGAACATTACTAGAAGTGATACCTACTGGAAGCAGTTGGTCTCCACAAGAGTTATTGGCCATAGAGGTTTAGGAAAAAATGTTAGTAATAGAAATTCATTGCAATTGGGTGAAAATACAGTAGAGTCTTTTATTGCGGCAGCCTCGTTAGGTGCGTCATATGTTGAATTTGACGTGCAATTGACAAAGGATTTTACAGCCGTTATTTATCATGACTTTACAGTAGCTGAATCAGGGGTTGATATTCCGATGCATGCCTTAACCGCTGAACAGTTTTTGAGTTTGAGTGAAGTTGAAGATCACCATATTAAGAATGAAAAAAATAAGAAATCTGTGAAGTTTGACTCTAAACAAACCCAATACTCATTGGATGATGAAATTTTGGGAAAAATAAACCGTCCAAGATCAATGTCAACATACCCATCAGCCCCCAACTTCAATAGAATATCCCATGATGATTCAGATGAGTTCGATGATGAGATAGATAAAGAGTTCAAAGATCAAATAAGTAGAAGAATGAAATTAACTAAAACGTGGAAGGATAAAGGGTTTAAGGGAAATGCTCGTGGATTATCAATTGCTTCGAATTTTGTTACATTAAAGGAACTATTTAAGAAACTACCTAAGAATGTGGGGTTCAATATTGAATTAAAATATCCTATGTTAGATGAGGCTGAAAGTGAAAGTATGGGAGAGATTGCTTTTGATATGAATTTTTATGTTGATACTATTTTGAAAGTTGTTTTTGATGAGAATACAAACAATAGAGATATATTATTTTCTTCCTTTCATCCAGATATTTGCTTACTATTATCGTTAAAACAACCTACCATGCCAATTTTATATTTGACAGAGGCAGGTACACAACCAATGGCGGATATTAGGGCCTCATCCTTACAAAATGCTATCAGATTCGCTAAAAAATGGAATTTATTAGGGATAGTTAGTGCTGCAAAAACTTTAGTCAAGACTCCAAGATTGGCTCAAGTTGTCAAATCTTCAGGCTTAGTCTGTGTTACCTATGGGATTGAAAACAATTCACCAGAATATGCTAAAATACAGATGAAAGCTGGGGTTGATGCAGTTATTGCCGATAGTGTTTTAGCTGTCAGGGAAGGTCTAAGAAAGGATCAAGAAAATTTGAAAGAGGTAGTAGAAGAATCACCGGAAAGTACTTAGAGGGCTCGATTTTTTGTGTATAGGTTATTTTTGTTTAAATAGCTAGATTAGATATATCGTTTTTGTGTTTGATTTGCGCAGCTAAACGGGTAGGTAAATTTCAATATCTTAAACCTGTAGTATATAAAACTAATGAAGAGTTTTACATAATGTCAGAAGGAGACACAAGAGATGATTCTTCGAAGAATCATACTGATGAGTCAAAGATTCTGAACGCATCAATAAACTCAGGAATAAATGCTGTACATGTTAACACAGCAAGAGAAATGACTCAATTACATACGAGGGCAAGACTACCAATACATTTACAAGCTAAAAATGAAAATAGAAACAGTTCTATGCCTAAGCCACAGAGAAAACCTCTCATGAGTTCGACATTCCCAAAATCAAACTCTAATGTATCAATTCCAGCTAAATCACACACAGGCTCATGTAATAACCCTCAATGTACTCATTGTGGCCAAGTAATCATCCCTTCGCCAAAATCATCATTACCCATACAAGATCATCCATCAATAACTGTAAACGATTGGAGCATATTCACTATAAAAAGACCAATATTGAATTCGACAGAATTAGATGATTTGGCTGATTCTAGATTCGAGTTTCCATTACCTGAAATGATATTTGGAAATAATCTTGTGAAGCTTGTCAACGATAAGGATGGATCCTCAATAGAATTTAACGCATTGGATGCATTAGATTCTTTGGATGAAGAATCCAGCTTGAAAGTCAGTTATCATAAGGAATGGTTGGAATCAAGAAGATCACCATCCACGGCTTCCTCGTCAGACATTATAGATAAATCCGAAAAGGCACAGAAAGAAATCACCAATAAAGACTTGAAAAAATTAACCGATTTAGATTCGCTAAAGCCATATGATTGGACATATTCAACTAACTATAAAGGAACCATAAAAAATGTACAGTTCTCAGAAACAGACGAAAAGATTCCAGTAGAAAAATTATTGAGACCTGATCCAATATTGTTCTTCGATGAACTGATATTATTCGAAGATGAATTGGGTGATAATGGTATCTCAATGTTGTCAACCAAAATTAGAGTTATGCCAACATGCTTACTATTATTATGTAGATTTTCCTTAAGGATTGATAATGTTATTTTTAGGATAAGGGACACCAGAATTTATATTGATTTTGATACTAATTTGATCTTGAGAGAGTATAAAGTACAAGAATGCTCTTATAGTGAGGTATTAAAAAAGATATCTAATAAGAGCAACAACGATCCAAAGAAGTTATTAAGGGACACAATGTGGGTGTCACAAAATATTCCAATTCTAAGTTGTACAGTTGAATCCAATACTATATAGTTACTCGTTGTACTTTATATAGGCTTATGATAGAATTTATATTTGGTCGTTCATTTACCATTTCCAAAAAATTATTCTCGAAATTTTCAGTCGAATTACTACTACTAAGGTAACAACTGAAAGATACATAGTAAAGGCTGAGAGTATGTTTAGGAGATCGTTTAAAGTAGCTAAGAGTTCAATTTCTGTGTCTAGAAGAAGTTTGCACGAAGTGCCAGTCTTGAAAAATCAAGATAGCTTCTTACAAAATGGTATTGAAGGTTTGTATTCGCCTAAAGGTTTCAAATCTTCTTGGGTGGATTACCAAAAATATTTAACGTTGAATTTAACTTTACAAACTAATGGTACTGAAAACGAATTGAGAACTCCCTACCAAATTTTATTGCAAACAGCTAAACAAACGACAGAACAACATACATTTCATTTTGCTTCCCAAGCTCACAATAACCATTTTTGCTTTGAACAATTAGCAAATAAGACAGAAGCACAAAAGACAAAGCCATCAAGATTCTTATTAGAAAGATTGGCAGACCAAGATTTTGCTAACATAGAATCTTTTCGTGATCATTTCTTACTAGTTGCCGACTCATCATTCGGCCAGGGTTGGGTTTTTCTTGTTGAATTACCAGACAAATCAGTCAAAATCGTGAAATGTGGTAATGACGGCACTCCATATTACTATGGAAAAAATCAATCATTAGATTTGAATGGTGGTATTGATGAAGGTAGCTTCGAATACTTAAATAATTTAAAGCATTTGGCAAGCAAACAAGAAAGGGATTTTAGTTTACCATTATTAGGTATTAATTGCTGGGATGCCGCATTTATTAATGATTATGGAGTTACTGGTAAAGCCGATTATCTTTCAAATTTTTGGGATTGTATTAACTGGGATGTGGTAAATAAAAGGTTATTCCAGGTATGAAAATAAATATTGTTGCATGTACATAGTTAGTATAATTTAATAATTATCAAATCAATCATTGCTGCTAGTATCACTCTCAATTTCTAACTCATCTAAATCAATCATATATAATTCTTCAAGTTCAAAATTTTTGAGACTATTGACGTTGATTATCAGTTGATATTTTGATATTTTCAGTGATATGTTTTCAATTTCAAAGAGGATTCTCCGTAAAGACCGATCTTGATACCAATCAATTGGGAGACTGATAATAAAGCTGGATAAGAGTTCACAAATTATTGAAATATATGACCATTCATTAACTAAAGTATGAAACTTTTCATAAACTCCATTATCATTTTCGTCTAGAAATTCTTTGATCTGATCTCTCTTCAATTTTAGTAATATAGTATGCTTCTCTTTCAAATTAACACTGAGGTTATTCAAGTCTTTTAGCTTGGATTGTAATTCATTGTTAAGAGTATTAGAAATTGAATAAGCCAATTTATCTAACGTCTTGTTATTCTTATTTAATTCCTGATAAGATTTTATCAATTTGTTTACATTTGCATTTTTATCATGTTCATTGATTGAATATAAACTGGATAAATTTTGAGATATATTCATCTCAGTCGTAGTAATTCCAGTATCTAGTTTATGAATTGATCTTAAAATAGGTAAAGTTATCTGTAAGTAATTATTAAGCAATAATCTTGTCTTGAAATTATCGACTTGTAATTCATAATATTGTCGTATAGCTTTCAATTTTGATATTTCGTCATCTTTTGCATATTCTAATATCGGAATCTTATCAAGTTTATTATTAAGAATTTCATGATATTGCTCTTCAATTTTGTCAACAGATTGTCCGTTCAATTCATCAAGTTTGTTCAAGTATGTTAGTTTGTTTAATTTTTGACTAAGTTCGCCATGTAGTCTATAGTACTCTTTCTCAAGTTCCATGGACTTGTTACTACTAGTAAGCTTTATGTGATTTTTAGTTATATCTGGAATACCATAATGATGATCAAGAATCGATGTACTAGCTAAGAGTGAATCACATTCCTTTGATAGTTCATTGGACATTGTACCGATGTATATATAATAAAATATGTAAAATGTACTTTCAATATCGCACTAATGTTAAATCTCATGAAATAGTTTGAATCAGTAAAAAAAGATAGATATCAATTTACAGAACAATCATCAATGTCAGAAACATCAATAAACCTTGTCAAGGATAAATTATTGTCCATAGCTGCATCAGGGATTTATGTAAATTTTCAGCCTGATGTTTTGCAAAACACATATAATGAAATAACTCTGTTTTTATCCGTAAATGCAGAATCTATTGATACAATTGAGTTATTCAATTTGTACGAATTGCAATTCTATATATCATTAATGACAAATCATGACGTGGAAGCCAAAACATGTTTAGATAGGCTTGTTGATCAATTTGGATCTGAAAAATCACAGCGAGTTAAATTGTTACAATCAATTTATTTTGAAGCCATAGGCGACGATGAAGCGGCGATGAAAATGTTAGGACAAAATGCAGACGAACTAAAACTATCTCGAAGATTAGTTACCTTCAGTAGAAAGCCTGATAACAATGAAGACTATATTGCCAGCTTAAATTACTATCTAGATTTACAACCATCAGATGCTATTACATGGGCAGAGTTGGCAAATGAATATAAAAAGATTGGACATTATGAAAAGGCTATACATTGCTTGCAAGAAATTTTATTACAAGAACCATCTGCTTACAACGTATTCTACAAAGTGGGATTATTCTACTATTATAAGTTTTTACAAGAATTCTCCAACAAGACACTAGATAAAAAAGACAGACAATTAGAAGCAATCTCAATCTTAAACAATGCGAAGAATAACTTCTTGAGATCGATTGAAATATGTGACAGCTATTCCTCGAGTTGGTTAGGTATCTATTTGATTGCTAAATCAGACTTCAATCAGACTTTGTCGAATAAATTGGCCGATAACAAACAAGTGAAGACCTATTTAAAAGAGAATTTAAAATTAGAGGTTATAAGTAAACAAAACGTCATTAAATTGAATGAGCTTAATGGCGAGGAAGAATTTACTAAATTTTTAAATAAGTATACATAGCATAGATGGAACTTAGTCTACATGCAACCTTTATCAGTGGCAATTAATTGAATTGGTTATAGCCTATAAAATCATGACAATATTTTCGCCTAATCTGATCTCTTACATGAAAAAATGTTGAACACCAAATCATTTATTAATAAAAACTAATAGAACACCCTAAATATTTTAAATACCCCCAAACCACTAACTTAGTGAAATAAGCTAGAATAATTCATTAAAGCACCATTAACTTCAATTACATAGTAAGCAATTGGTTCACAAGCTAAGAGTGTCCTGATTTACTTCTTTTCAGATCCGCAAGTGCAGTGTTCACACTTACAGTCAGATCCACAAGTACAGCCCTTTGATTCTTCGGAGTTGTCGACGATAATTTTTTGAGTAATAGAAGCCATTTTTATAATCTTAATTAATAATAATAATAATACTCTTCACCAATGTTTCAGTGTTGGAGTCTTATTTATACCCTTAAAATTTCGGTTTTGTGCTGCGTGACTTTTGCTGCATTTACAGCTGAACTCCCGCACGCATGACTGTTCAAAGCTAAATTGTCTCAGTAGCCTAAATCTCAAATAGCTATTTGCACGTTTGCTAGTGAGTCCAACAGGCTGTTTGGAGCTCATATACAGAAGCTGCTGATTACATGAAATGGTAATTCGCAGCTCGGCTGCTCTGTATAAAATTGCTATTAATTTTTGAGGATAGCTTGTCTACAAAAAGTCATGAAATAAGTTTCTATTATAATATATACTATATATGTAAAGAAAATGCAATTGGGTTAATAATATAAATTAATGAAGACAAATATTGATAAGAAAACAGTTCTACGTATAAGATAAAAAAATTAGAATTCACCTTTGTAATTTAAGTCTTTTCTGGATAAAACTTCATCTAAAATACCAGAAGCTGCTGCAACCAAACCTAAGAAAGGTCTGGAAGGGTCTAAGACCTTAGATAAGTATTCTGGGTGATATTGAGTACCACAGAAAAATTTATGATCCTTCAATTCGAATAATTCCATTCTCTTCTCAGTTTCATCCTTACCAATAAACTGTAAGCCCTTGGCTTCTATTTCGCCTATTAACTGAGGATTGACTTCATATCTATGTCTGTGTCTCTCTAAGACAGACTCAGCACCACCATATAATTGTCTTAATTTTGACCATTCCGAGCCTTCAGTGAATTTGGTGCTGTGGATCCCTAATCTCATAGTACCACCCAATTTAATCTGGTCGACGTCTGGCATGTAAACAACAGAGGCGGTTTTTTCTTCCACAGTAGCATCAAATTCCATTGAAGTTGAATTGGTGTAACCTAAAACATTTCTAACGAACTCAATGACAGCAATTTGCAAACCTAAACAAACACCTAAGTATGGGACATTGTTTTCTCTTGCGTATTTGGCGGCTGCGACCATACCTTCAATACCACGATTACCAAAGCCACCTGGTACCAATATACCATCAGCTTGGCAAATTGAGTGCCAGGCCTTGTGATAATCAGCCAAGTTGTTTTCTTGTGACTTTTCTTCTAAGTCAGTAGATTCAACCCATTCAATTTTCAACTTTCTCTTGCAGCTCATAGACGAATGTTCTAAAGCCTTAATAACTGACAAGTAAGAATCTTTTAAATTAGTATATTTACCAACTAATGCAATAGTGGTGGTTTCGAAAGAGTTGTCATGCTGAGATGTTAAAGTTCTCCATCTAGTCAATAAATTTTCACCTTTCAACAAAGCTTCCTTGGTCAATTTGCTAGTATCTAAAGCTAACTTCTTTTCTAAGAATTTCATCATTCTCAGTTCCTTTAACAATAATGGAACGTGATAAGTTGAGTTAACATCATGAACAGCAATAACTTGTTCAGGACCAACGTGACAAAACATTCCAATCTTTTCAATAGTCGCAACTTCTAATTCTTCTTGACATCTACAAGCAATCATATCAGGAGTCAAACCTAAAGATCTTAAATCTTTAATGGCAGCTTGGGTTGGCTTCGTCTTTTGTTCTCCGTGAATAACAGGAACTAATGAAACATGAATCAAAGCGAAGTTTTCAACACCAACTCTGAACTGAAATTGTCTCAAGGCTTCAACAAATGGAGCACTTTCAATATCTCCAACAGTACCACCTAATTCAATGATACAAATTTCGGGTTCTAATCCTGAATCATCAACTGGAACAACAGCGACTCTTTCAATCCAGTCTTGGATTGTACCGGTGACATGAGGAACAACTTGAACGGTTTTACCCAAGTAATCTCCCTTTCTTTCTCTTTCGATGACATGAGAGTAAATTTTACCAGTGGTAATATTGTGATCCTTAGTCAATGTGGTATTTAAGTATCTTTCATAATTACCTAAATCCAAATCGACCTCCCCACCATCATTCAAAACAAAACATTCACCATGTTCTAAAGGAGACATGGTACCAGCATCGATGTTCATATACGGATCAATTTTGATAGAAGTCACTCTATAACCTAATGTTTTAAATAATAACCCAGTGGAGGATGCTAAAACACCCTTACCGATACCAGAAATGACACCACCAGAGACAACGACGTATTTCATTCTCAATTATCTAAGTTTTTTGTAGTAGTATTATGAAAGTTACACTAATAAAGAAATATGCGAATTATTCAATGTTTATTAAGAAGCTATAGATACGCCCTCTTAAATGAATTATTTAAGCGGGAGGAAAGAAGTAAAAGGTTCTTACTTATATCTTCGGGAACGATATTCCTTTTTATAATGGAGATGAGCTGCGATAAAAAAATTCAAAAAAAAAAACACGTTACGCCGTAGCCGGTAGACTAACAAATGCGGAAGTAATTGAAATTTCTGGCATGTTTGCTAAATTATACACCTCGTTATACTGTAGGCTTTTTTTAATAGTTGAGTATTTGAGGTACCTTGATTTAGCATATTATATATGAGTTGATATATGCCTCTTTCTGAATAGAAAGAAATAAGTTAGCCTTGGACTCAACAATCCGAAGACAAGCTTATCAAGATGGCAAAGTGGTTAATGGTGGCTAATACGTTCGACTCCTTCGCTGTATATTCAATGCTAAATAATTATAATGCAGTATGGCCATGTACCATAGAATCAGACTATTTTTACGCCTCCAATTTGAGTACCATCTTCATTCATTAATATTTGGGCTCTTCCTTGTTTGATCAATACTCCCTTTAATATTCTTACGAGTAAGTTGTAGTCTAAGTCTTTCAAATCTTCATCAACGCCAGAATCTTCCAGCTTAGTTAATTCGTAAACAGTAAGAACAGAACCCAACTGGCCGGTCCTTTCAACAAAGTCATGTAAAATATTGGCCCATTCAACCAAAGTTTTCCAATATATCAATATTCCTGCTTCTGGTTGCTTTGGGTTAATATATTCGGCTCTATGAAGTTTATGAATTAAATGCTTAAATATCATTGCTTTAAAGTCGTCGCTCACAGATCTGTTGATATTCCTATTCTCGAATAATGGCGGTACTTCATTAATATCCACATCATTCAATTGTGTATGCAATATGGCTCCCTGTAAGGATAACGAAGTAATCTTGTAATGCTGACAATATGATAATATTATTTCCCCCCACGACTCAAGCTGATTATGTAGTATAGTCAAGTTAGGTTGCTTGGTATATAGAGGAGGAAATGCATGGATTTTTGGGAATTCGAACACGGTAGACATATTCAAAATCCTGTACTAGTCATGTAAAAGGGTTCGTATAGACTAGAAGGAATTAGCTTTTGATTTTTGATATGGACTCACGTGCCAATATTAAAACAAGTTCTAGCACCTCTAGCAAGTATTTGACTACATCTAAACATATTCTACGTATAGGATATTTATCGTAAACCTTTTATTTTTTGTTTATTAACAATATCATCGCTAGAGAGTGTAAGTTATAAACATTTATGATATAAAACACACCTGACTATAACCGGAACTTAAAATTACAAAATGTTATTTATTTTTCTAAGTTAAACAATTGTTTGTTTGATTAATCAAGACGAAGTAAACTTAAGCTTCAGCCATGTCTCTTAAACGACGAATGGTAGATCTAACGGTAGCAGCAGCGGCAGTAGAAACAGTGTAAGCACCACCAGCAACAGTCTTACGACAAGATTTACAAGTCCAGATACCAGCAGCACCTCTTTGGACAGTTCTCTTACCACAGAATGAACAATCGTATTTAGCGTGTTGTTGGACTTCCAACTTCTTGGTTTGTCTTCTTAATGAAGAACCGTATCTGACACCGAATTTACCGGTAATACCAACCTTCTTAGTTCTCTTAGTCCTATATCTCTGTTAGTATATTGCTCGAAATACTTTTGAATCCACTGTGAAATTTCACTACAATAAATATCTTGATAATTTGCCATGCACTGAAAAACTTTTCAGTCCTTACAAAACGAATGGTTCTAATTCTTTGCTTCATAAACTTATGTTTCCTTCTTGTATCTATCCATCTCCCTATTTGAAAACTCCAACGTTCTATTCTATGTTCTTATTATTCGGTTCGAAAATTAATTTTCATATTTTATCACTGTAGTTTAGAAATTTTTCACTAAATATATCAATCCATCAAAACACTAATAAGTAGAATACATGACTTCATCAAGATGTTCATTGTAATGTTCTCCTTCTCTTCCTCTTATGAAACATACATTTTTAACTATAATTGTCTATGGTAATTGACTATACTAGTAACAGAAGAAAATAGCTACTAATATTTCATGTCTATAATGATAGAATGAGACGAAACCTCACTCATTAAATCGGGCGTGTACCATGCTCAATAAAAATTTACCTGAAAATTTTCATCACAAACTTGAACCGATAAAAAATGACAGAAATCATGCTCAACAGATTAAGCTCGTGACTCGTCTTATTTTATAGGAGTGAAACCCTAACACTTTTTGTGAACCAGTTTTTGGTAGTTTACATGTTGTTCTGGTAGTGATAGATATACACCAGTTAATTTAACAAGTTTGAGTTTTGATAGGCATAGAATGATATGTTAGATATAATGGATGATGAAGATATCAATAATGATTCTTTTATGAAGTTTATTAAATCAGATCCTGATGAGGAATCAATGTGTAAGATTACTTTGTGACTGGGCGGCTAAATGATAATTTAGTAGAAACGGAAGGTTTCAAATACTAATAGCATGTAGGTAATACAGAATCGGATATGGATGAACTAATGGGGTTTGGAAGCAAAAAAGATGATTTTTTGGAAGATCCAGGTAGCTGTAGGACTACTGAATCAGATGGAAGAAATTCGCAACCAAAAATGCATCGAATGGCGGAGGACAAACAGCATCATTTTGGAATAAGTTTTCTTAAGAGCTCAGACTATGAACCTAACCTGAATATGGAAGATGGGGAAGATGTATTTTTTGGAGGCTTTCATGATGGTCCTGTAATTGAGGGTATTGGCGGTGGGTTGGGGCATAAATCGTATTGTAAGCGTAAGTTGGAACTGTCGCATGAATTGAATAAACGACAGCGATGCATGGATCCTCAAAATGATGGCAAAAAAAGGTCTATTCTTGACAAAGTATCTCATTCACTGGGTATATGGGATAAGAATCTAGGAATAGGTATTGGCTGCAAAAGGTATGGCCGTGATGGCTCTCCTAATGGTGCAGAAATCAATGGGGATTTGTACAATAATCCTAAAATATTTAAGGAAAAACCTACGCACAATACTGCTCTCTCTCGGGACAAAAATGCTTTATATGAAAGATATGATGTCGTAACAGGAACCATACTTCCTCTTGGATTGAAAGATGTCGAAAAGAAATCAGAACCATCTTTAACATTTCCGTTAGCAGACAGTGGAAATTATTTATTAGGAGAGCCTCTCAGAGATATTATTAATGATACTAGTGGAATTAATAGGGAAATTGAACCATTGTTAGTTAATTATAATTATGAGAGCAATTTGCTGCTGATAGGTAATTACGATAAGGAGAATGTGATTGATCCAAGAGTTATATTCAAGTTTGAAGCAAACCCAAGTCATCTGAGAGATGTCAAAAAAATCTACAACAATCGCCTGTCTATCCCACTACCCCAAGAAAATAATACCACATTAGCTTGTTTGGATATGAACAAAAACGCTAAACTTGATACGTCTGCTTCGAAGAAGTTTCCCTTGATTGCAGCAGTTGATGAAAATACAATTCCACCTCCAAAAAAAACAATTATGCTCACATATCCAACTCCTGACCCCTTACCCGAGAGAGAATCTGGTGCTCATATTTACAATAAGGGGGGTCTTTATACCAATAATATAATTGAGTATGATCAGAAAGAGATTAAAAAAACGGATGAAACAAAAGCAGCTGCTAAAAATAAGCCTAAAATCAGTCAGAAATTATTATATATTCATAACCTTTCTCGGTCAAGCAACACAAAAATTGATGAAACTGTCGCTTATCTACATTACAAATTACGAAGCTATGAAAATATGGCAGTTCTGACAAGAATTAGGAATATATTACAAAGCCATCAACTGAATTTAATAGGTATTTGTGGCCAACTTGGAATTCCTGAATTATTAGTTCCTCGACGTACAAATTAAAGATTTTTATCATATAAATCATCTATATAACAGAATTTGTTTCCATACGGAGATTATATATTTGTCAATTTGCGATTAAATAAGACGATTTAACTATGTAGAGAAACTATGAGAATTAAAGTAGTTGAGATATACCCGAATATGTTATTTTTATGCAGGGGGATTTCTATCCCGAGGAAATAAATCAACAGGTTGCATTTCCACGTCATCGTCGTCTTCTCCTTCTCCATTAACGAATTGTATGAGTTGATCGCCATTAGGGAAAACTGCTGGCTGTTCTATTTGAGGAGCATTTTGGGGATCTTGGTTTAGTTGATCTGGTTGTAATTGGAGATCTTGTTCTTGCATCTGCCGTTGGAGCAAACGTTGCTGATGATGATTTCGAATTAATCTTTGGAAGTGCTCTCTCATTTCTTCGGGGCCCATATTACCTTCGTTCAATTCTCTGAAGATTTCTCTATTAATTTCAGCCACCTCAGGGTTCCCCACTTCACCACCTTGTAGCACTCCTAGGCCACGCTGTCTTACCCATAGATTCATTTCTTCGTCATCCATATCATTTCCTCCATTCATAAATCTTCGTCTTCTTTCATGAAATAATGCATGCATGTCACCATGGTCAATCAAATAAGATCTGTCTTCCATTATTTGATTTAGATGGTTTCTTAATTGGCTAACTCCATGTCCAGAAAACACGCAGAATGAATTTTTCTGTTGTTCATTGAAGTCTGGCGGCGGATCACGGCAGTATTGTGTGATTTCTCTTCTCAAAAATGCCGAAATGCCTGTCAATGATAAATGTGTCAACTTCGGGCAATTCTTCAACAATAGATAAATTGGGCCTATAGTTAAATTTGTACAATAAGATAAATGAACTCTCTCTAAGCAGTCTTGTTCACCGCGACGTCTTACTAATTCTAGTATTCCACTATCTGATATTAAGCTGCATTTGACCAATCCTATCCGTCTTAATTTAGGTAAATTTGCCAATTCGACTAATGTCCAATCAGTTAATTGGGAACAACAAGCTAAATCAATGTATTGAATCCTATGGCAAGACCTTACCAACGACGCCACTCCAAAATCTGTGATTAGACCACAATGGCCTAAATGAATATAATGTAAACTCCTCCCTAATTGAGATAAAGCTCTCAATGATGCGTCGGTTATTTGCATACACTTTGACAAGACAACATTCCTCAATCTCGGAGCACACATCACAAGCTTCTCAATTAATTTATCAGTTATTGCGTTACAACCAGTTATGTCAACTATTCTAAGCTTTTCTAGATAATATTCACTAGGAAGTAGCTCGAATAATTTATCTGTAACACCAGCTGCATTACTTATCCGAAATTCTCGTAACTGTGATAAATTGAGGAAAATTAGCTTCAAATACTTATCAGTAACATTAGGACAGTTGTGTAAATCTATTTCGACTAATGACTTACAGTTTTCATGCATTACTTCTATACTTTTATCAGTGATGTTCGTACTACCATTGAATTTTACTCTTTTAAGCATAGGACAAGATTTTAATAGTTTAAGAATTGCATCTTCGGAAACACTACCACAACCAGGGGCATACAAGCCCTGTAAGCGTGGACAATTATTCGCCAACGCAAGTATTATATCATCATGAATATTTGTTACTCCAGTTAAATCTATTGATTGCAATTTTTCACAGTTTTTTAAGACTGCAGTTATTGGACTATAAGTCAATTTTGTACAATTGACTAGAGTAAGCCTTTCCAATTTAGGACATCCAACAAACAAATTCAATACATCATCATCCACAAGCTTAGTCATAAATGATAAATTTAGCCTTTTAATAAATGATCGATAATCCCAATGGGTTGCATCTTTTGGAATTTCCATTATTGCTTTGATCTTCTTGAAAGAGCTATCGTTTTGCATATTGGGTCTAAACCAAAGGATCTCAATTATCAAATCAGCAAATTCATGGCAAACTGTTAATAACGAATATAATTCCTTTCTGTCAAGATGATGGAATATCTGCAATAAAATTTCGGTCGGGAGATTCAACAAAAGTGAGTTTTTGTAATTCAACCTTTGAATTTCAGTTCTCTGGTTCGAAGTAGAAGACTGACGTCTCTCAATTATTGAATTACGTAACTCCCTATAATCGCTACTCGAATCATTATCCATTTGAAATTCAAATTCTTGGTTAACGCTGCTGCTATTACTACCGTTATTGCTATTCAAATAGTTGTTATTATTCTTACTCCGGGCAAGCATTTGCGAAAATGAAGGCAAAGTCCTGCTGCTATTGCTTGCATTATGTGATATATCATTATCTTCTATAATGTTATTCGGAGAACGCATTTTCATGGGGGTTATAATATTAAATGGGACTTAGTAGTCGCTCTATGGAACAGTCTGATAATAATTGAAATTCGATGAAACAAACTAATGATATCAAATACACTTGAAGATTCTATCTTTTCTTAACTTTTATAATTGAATCAGATGCCAACTGGAATACTGGCGGTAAACTTAAAAGCAAATTCACACCACGTTAAACAGAATCCTTATGAATTCAAACAACAATCACCACAATTAATATTGCTTTGATTCTATGCTAACTGAAGACTAGCTTAAAGAAAACCTAATGCTTTAGTTTTATTCTTACTAATGTCGATTTAATGATATTATATGATCAATACATATGTGATTGTGAATCGATTTATCGCCATTAAGAATAATAATGCAATATACAGGATTTCACATTATCTGCGGAAGAAGTGTTTCTATGTAATAAGAAGTACCAGGGCATATTGTTACAAAGTTATGTAATAGGAACGATTGAATACCTAAGATTAATATATTAAATATTATTTATACAAGATGATAATTGTATGTATATAAATAAATAACCCAATACAGAAAATGAACGAAATGAAGCATTAAATATTTTTTTTGAGCGAAAATGATTTTTAAATTGATATGATTTTAGTAAATTGAGTGATGACGAATTTGTCGCTAGGTTTTAATAAGTCGGTTCTATAGATATATAATTCGTGACTTAGAAAAACAGATTTCTTTGTCCAGTACTCACTCCAGGCGTACCTGGATTGGAATTATATCCTAAAGCTGCGGAGCTTAAGGATAATTGTTCCAATTGCTGCATGACAGCCATATCATGTTGCTGCTGTTGGCTCAATTGCTGAGGTTGAATCCCATGCTGTTGAGGACCGAGGTTAGTTTGAGGCTGGTTATTCATGGACATCATCATTTGAGGAGGCATCATCATATGATAACCTTGTTGCTGTATTTGTTGTTGTTGTTGTTGCTGGCGGGAGTGCTGCTGCTGTTGTTGTTGTTGCTGCTGAGCAATTTGAGGCGGTAACCCATAATTCTGACCAGCGGATGCATTTTGAACTGGAACATTTTGTCCAACCAAATACCCCATTGGATTAATTATATGCTGCTGAGGTATTTGGGATTGGCCCTGTGGACCTTTATTTGAGTTAGAATTGGCACGACCCCCTCTTTTATTCCTTCTGTTTCCTATAGAGGTAGATCTATTCAACCTTGTTGTTGATAATCCAACCTCATCCATCAACTTCTTATAAGCCTGGAAATTAGTTATGTTTACTTCTAAAAGTATCCTTCTAATTTGTTGAATAATGAATTGTTGATATTTAGTATTTTTATCGGAATCATTCTCTTCGTTAACAGTCAACATCAATGGATTGGATAAAATCTTATAAACAAACAATGGGCCCGCTGAATTTTCCTGAGTCTCGCTAAGAATGGATTCTAATAATTTTGAGGGAGGTTTATTAAAATCATCTTCAGATCCTTCAAACTTGCCAAAGATCGAATCCATAATAGTTTGCTTCAGGTTAAGATCGGATCTATTATTCAAGATCTTCAATATAGTTAAATTGGCTAATTTGTGAATACACAATTTTTCTAAATTGGGCAAGAGCTTTTCTGTTAATAGCTCAAATCTATTGTCTTTACTTGCTCCACACCCATTGAATGTGTCCAAGAACCATGTAATCAATAAGGATCCATTACTATTAACAACTAATTCGTTGGCAAACTCAACAATCAATCCAGCCACTAGTATTACTTGTTCATTTGAAATTACATTACTTTCATTTGCAGTTTCTAAAATGGTTCTAATACATCTTGCTCCAAACCTACCAAAACTAATTTCAAGAAAATTGTCTAGCATTGTCTCAAACATGAAGTCATTGAATGGTGAAGAAAATTTGAGGCAACCCTGTAACACGTAATTACCAAATTGATCATTGAATAATTTAACCGCGTAGGGCTTTAAGCTTGCACCAATGAGATACTTTTGTTGATAATCTTCATTACATAAGTTAATAATCTTTTGGATTGCCCAAGTCCCATTTTTATGAATACTTAATTGGGTTAAAAACGGAGTAATTTCCTTTACCATCATTAACTTGATGAGAGGAGATTCAACAACTGTGAAAATCTTTTGTACTATAGTATTACCAAGGTAATCATAACATAACTCTGGTAACTCATCTAACATTGCTAAGCATAATTCTTCTAATTCCAACTGATTCATTACTTTATTTGAAGCTTCATTTTCATCAGAATCTGATATGTTATTAGCGCCAGATGCCTGAGATGGTAGCTGTTCACTATTTTCCAAAACCTTACGTAATTCTCTTAACTTAGGAGAATCAAATTGACGTAACGGAATTGGATCAGGTAAAGGACCAAAATTATCTTGATAATTCTCATTTGGATAAGAAATTGACTTGTTGATGATGGATACTATTTTATTCAAATCAACAACTTTACTAGAGCTGGATAATCTATTAATAGCTGCGACTAAGTTATCTCGGATAGACAACAAATCGGTAGGTGAAGGCTTCGAGGCTTCAGAAACTGAACGTACACCACCATTTTTCTGTGGAGCTGGCTGCAATGATGCCGCCGGATTAGAGTTTCCACTCGTATATGAAGCCTCATTATTATTTGTACCGCCATTTGAATTTTCAGCAAATTTTGCAAATGCCACATATAAAACAACTCCTGGAACTAATTCCAAATGATTAAAATTAGCTTTCAATGTCATTGCCAAGTCGACAGAAGTACATTCGACTAAAGCTAATTTAGAAGTACTTGTTGAAGAGATTCTCACACTTTTTATATTTCCCAACGATCTATTATTGCCCAAAGAATTATTTAAAATAGACCATAATTTTATTGAGTCAATAAATTGAGGTAAATTATCAAACAAAATACTCATAGTTGGACCCAACTTTGGATTCTCGAAGGAAGTCGTGATCATTAATTGAGATAAAACAAAGTCATCTTGCAATAAAGGCTTTTGGCCCAAAACATGATTTGGGTGTTGCAGAGGGTTTTGCTGGAATAAGTTTTGTGCTAATAACTGTTCTTGGTGCTGCTGTTGAGATGGTAGTTGCTGCTGAAGGCTGGATTCAGGTAATACAGGTGTGGTACCCGAATAAGTTTGGGATCTGTGTCTCGTATTATTCGAATTATGATTATTATTCATATTGATCATTAAATTGTCCAACAATGCATTTATGTCATTTGTCTTATTAGAAGGAGGAAATGGAGAACTACTCATCATGTTCGAGTTCATTGGATCAATCGAATAAGAATTATTCGATAAAGATATTGAAGATGAACTAACGTTTGGTATAGCTGCGGTTGTCGTATATGATCTGTATCTTTGATTGCTAGTAGTATTCATATTCGCATTATTATTGGCCGATGTAGGTGTGCTTGACGGATTAGTATTACTATGATGTGATACCGTGGAGTTTTGGGCATGAAGTACTGGGCTTATGAAACTATTATTGCTATTCGTGCTGCTAGTATCATTAACATTACTCTTACAATTAGTATTAGCAGTACTGTTAAGATCAAATGTATCAAGCATGCTTGTGCCATTTTGCGATGGTGAATGAAGCGATAATGCATCATCATTCCAGATTGAATTGGTCGAAAACAATGACCCTGATCTCATCCTTCTTGAGTTGCTATTTCCTCCATTCGGAATGTCGACAGCTTGTGTGTTTGGCGATGATGAAACTGCAAGCGAAATCGTGTCCATAGTTGGCAAACACAATGATTCCGAGTTGTAGCTATTTGCCAACGAACCGGTTGAATTGGCCATTGGGCCATTTTCTTCCAACAACGATCCCGCATTGCTCATAGCTCCACCTGCACTCAAAAAAGACGATGGCAACGTCCCTGATCTGCTCCTTGGCTTTCCTGTATTTTTACAAGAATTTGATGGCGTGAGACTTATCGAAGGAGGTGGAGATGAAGGATTAGTACCGTTATTAAAATTACTATTCATCCTCAAGTTTGCTCGTAGTTATTTGATTTTCTTTGGTATGAATAATTATCTCTCTATTGTTTGCTTATATTTTCTTAAAATTCCATAAACTATCACTTAACTGGTCTCCAACGTATTGACCTTTACTAGTTTGTTAAACATTTAGTTCACTTGTTAGTGATTTAGCGAGTTTTTCAAATGCTTATGTAATCAACACGATTATTTTGGAAGACGAGCTACTCCTATTTAAAATCCTGGTCCGGATCTACAATACTGGCACAGTAAGTTTATTCAGCCAAGATATACAAGGGTTGAAAGTCTGGGGATGTTTGCATGGTCCGGAACACCATTATCATTCTTTCATGCTCCTGGAGATCGACGTTGAAGGTGTAAGAATGACGTTTTTTGGGGTTTTGTGGCATTTAAATCTATATGCAGTATGGTAGTATGGGATACAAGACATAGAATAGTTACATAGAGCACCTCGATGTCTAGTTTATCGGGCGCTAGGTAGGATAAACATGAATACACCGTTGTCGGAGTACATCCAGAAGGTTTGCCTGCTGGTGAATTCGGAGGACTCACAAAAATTCAGGACCTGCATTACCATTAATCCTGGGATTAACGAAGGTACTATCAGAGCTCATTTCCCAGAGCCCAATGATTTCGATCTCTATCCTGTCCCAGAAAAGTTTCGTAATGTTATTCGAAGTTATTTGAAGTTGATGAAATCGGTTTATATTGCTAACAATATCAATGCGTCATTTTTCGATTTGAATGAAATGGTGAATAATTTGAACAGAGCAGCAGACACACAGACTAATTGGATCAATAAACCGCTTATCAATGCATGCACCGAGTTAATAAGCGTTTACCAGGTAAGGCTGAAGAATTTTCCGGAGGAAGAAGAAATAGAGCTTTCTAATTTGGAAAATAACGAGTATGGCACCTCATCTTCCTCGTTGGAGCGTCTAGCTGCTACGATAAATGGGCTGTTTAAGTTGTCATTAAATGATAAGAATCTTGATTTGACTCAATCGAAAAGGTTAGATATTTATTTTTTCTTGGGGAATCTCATTAAGATTTACTTCAAGCTAGGTAAGTTAGAGTTGGCGAAGTCTGTTGAAAAGGCCTTAAAAGGTACGAGATTCAACTTACCCAAATTGAATGGTGCCGGCTCCTCAAAAAGGTACGCTGTTACATACTTGTATTATAGCGCATTACTTTCGCTTGATGACGCAGATTTCGCTGCTAGTGAAGAGAAGTTAGTAAAGGCAATGGAGATTTTGTCTTGCTATTCAGATCCCAAAAACGTGAAACATCAAACAGAGAAAATATTGATTGTTTTGTTGCCACTAAAGCTTTACAACAAACGGTTGTCTCCATCGAACGAAATGTGGGAGAAATTTCCAAACCTAAAGTTAATATACAAGGACAATTTGTTTGATGCCATAAAGAATGGTAACTTAAAAAAATTCGACCAAGCCTTAACCAAATACCAATTAATATTGTTAAAGAGGCATCTTTATCTTTTATTTGAAATGATGAAATCTTTATGCTATCTAAAACTTGTCAAAAAGACCGTCTCAATAATTAATTCGCTAAACTCAGAAACTAAATCTCATATTATACCACTAAGTGCTATTCAATTAGCTCTAGAATTTTCAACAAAACATAAATATGATGATTCCAACTTCGCATATAGCTTGGATTCAGTCGAATGTATTTTGGCAAATCTAATAAGTAGTGGTAAGATAAAGGGTTATCTATCTCATGCTAACAGGTGTATGGTGCTATCAAAAGCTAACGCTTTTCCTAGTCTAGAATTTAAATAATTAATAGAAATAATTTGATTATACATCTATATCAACCGAAGACGTCTAGCATTGTTATTTAACGAATCACTTCACTACTTTATGCTCTAAAGACTTCCTTTAGATCGTTATAGGCATGTATCTTATAAACTTATATATCACGTGACTTTGGATGCACAAAATGTTTAATCAAAAAAATTTCATCAGTAATCAATATCACCAACAGTAAAGGTATAGAACAACGGTAAATTTATTTCACATAGTAATTCATTTCTATATTAATACGATACCAAATAAATCAATATGTCGTTTGTAAATATTTGTCGTGATAACACAGATCCGTTCTACCGTTATAAGATGCCTTTGATTCAATCAAAGGTTGAAGGTAGAGGGAATGGTATTAAAACTGTCATTGTTAACGTGGCAGAAGTTGCCAGAGCTTTGGGAAGATCACCAGATTACGTTATCAAATACTTCGGTTATGAATTGGGTGCTCAAACTAACACAGAACGTTGTTTAATTAATGGTAGTCATGATGCAAGCGAATTACAAGATTCATTGGATGGATTCATTAATAAGTTTGTTTTGTGTGCAAGTTGCAAGAATCCAGAAACTGAAATTCAAATTAAAGAAAAGGATAGACTTCAAAGAGATTGTAAAGCATGTGGTCATATTTCGGTTATTGATCCAAGACATAAGTTATACTCATATATTTTGAAGAATCCACCAGCAGGTAGTGGTAAGGGAGGTAAGGGTAAGAAGTCTGCCACTGCTACCGCCAATGTTGTTGGTGGTGGTAAGTCTATTTCTGATATTGCTTCAGGGCAGACTGTTAATCAAAAACCAGCTGGTGAACAAAATGATGATGATGATGTCTTAACTAAAAAAATCAATGCTGAAGCAGCTGCATTAGCTAATGAAACCATTGAAGTTGCTGATGATGACTGGGCTGTTGATATGTCGAAGGAAGCAATTGAAGCAAGAGCTAGAGAATTAGAAGGTTTGACTTTAAATGAAAACCAAGAAAAATTCAATAAGTTTGGGGAATGGTTATTGGATGAATCTAAGGATTCAAAAGACGACTTGCCAAGCGATATTGATATTTATAAGAAGATTGTCGAATTAGACATTCTTGAAGATCCTGAAACTATTCAAGTTTTAGCTCAGACATTATTCGATAATGATATAATCGAACAGATTGAAGAACATTTAGGTTTATTAGCTAAATTGATTGACCATGATGCTGACTTCGAAAAGGCGTTCTTGGGTGGTTTAGAAAGATACTTGGGATTAGAAAATCAAGCTTTAATTCCTGCTCTCCCAAAGATTTTGGTCACAGTTTATGATAAAGACTTAATTAGTGAAGAAGTTATTACTGCGTGGGGTTCTAAGGTTTCCAAGAAATATGTTCCTAAAGATATTTCAAAGAAAGTTCGTAAAGCAGCTAAACCATTCCTTAAATGGCTTCAAGAAGCTGATGAAGAAAGTGACGATGAATAATTTCTTTTCCTTCATTTATGATGTTCGTTTTATGGCATACTCAATACATAATATCGTATATATAGTTTAATACACTTAAGTCTTTTCTTTATTTATTCATTGTAATTGTTTATATACTTACCTAACGTCTATTTTGAGGGGGTGGTGGTGGAGGTATTCCAAAATTCGGTACTTGACCGGGCCTATTATTATTCATGAAATTTGGCATATTTGGCATATTGGACATGTTTGGCATGTTAGGCATATTAGGCATATTAGGCATGTTAGGCATGTTTGGCATGTTAGGCATGTTAGGCATTCCTGGCATGTTTGGCATGTTTGGCATGTTTGGCATGTTAGGCATTCCTGGCATTCCTGGCATCATTGGCATACCTGGTGGCATCATACCCATCGGAGGCATACCCATTGGAGGCAGCATACTGTTAGGTTTATTTGAAGGGGTATTATTAGAGCCATTCTTGTTAGGTGGCATAGGTGGTGGCCCAGCACCACCACTCATTAATTGCGCCATCAATTTTTGTGGATTAAATTCGCCTCTTAATTTATCCTGTTTGCAACAGTATGCTGTCCATGTAAATTCATCAAATCCGTAATTAAAATAATCTGATATATCTGCCCCCGGAAACCTCCATGGTTTATCTTTAAGTTTCTCTAAATCTACTTGTGTGAGAGGTTTACCATCCAATTGTGCCACAGAATTTATATCAATACTAGATCCTTTGTCTGCTTGATTAGAAACAATTGTAGTTGTAGCATTCTTATCGCCACCATCTATATCAGTAACAGCGTCAATTGTATCATTTTGAGGTCCTGATGTCGTTATTGTCTGTCCACTTTTTGGTGCGCTTTCACCTATGACAAACTCTATGTCATCATCTGAATCAGATTCTTCTTCAGAATCATTGTCTTCATCTTCATCACTGTTATTCTCTTCGCCATCCTTCGCTTCTGCTTCACTTTGCTTTGTCTTCGATGATTTTTCTTGGGACTCATCGCTCTGTTCTGTTATCTTCTGTTTTTTGGAAACTGGTTGATCATTATCATCATCTGATCCGTAAAGATATGCGTCCTCGTCGTCGGAGTGTTTCCCAGCCATTTGATTCTGTTAAATATACGTATAATATTACGAAGAATTACCATTCTTAAGTTTTGCTCCAATTTGATATTTTAGAAAAACATCTATAATTATCACGTGATATAATTGGTATCAAAATTAAATTTACTAGTATAGAATTAAATATATAAACAAAATATCCGAATGCAATTCTAAATAAACATATAATTAAAAAATCTTTTTTGTACGAGAACGTTCATTAGGTTCCTTCTTTGCATTTGCTTCCTCTATCATTAATTTAACCCAAGGTTGGCGGCGGAATTTATTACGATAAACAATCTTTTCTAAAATTGCAACCCATGCAAGTTTCTCATTCCTGTTTGGAGCTCCAAAGTCAATCACTTCCCCATTAGCAAACCTAATCTTAAATGAGTGAGGTACTAAAATAACATCACTGAAGTTTCTATAATTAGCGGACGATTTGTTAATATCCGTCTCATCAACATAAATCACATCGACAATCTTTGAAAGGTTAATCTTAGCTCTAGTCTTGTGTGAGAATTCACTATGAGCAACTAATGATGTACCTTGCAATTTGAAATACCTCTTTTTCAATATTTCACAGTCGCCACCTTCTTGATGCAAATATCCTTCATGGGTCAAGTTTGATTCTTGGTTCAAATCTTCTATACACTCATATGCAGATTTGATACTTGTAGGCAAAATTTCTTGATTATTAGTTCTTGGTACAAACAACATTTTGACTTCAAGTTGTCCAATTCTGTATGGTTGACATCTGGTCCTAGGTCCATTGTCTTTTCCAGGAATTGTTTCCCACTCGTTAAAACAAGTAATATTAAAATTGCAAGCTTCACCAGTGATCTTACTCTCATATTGGTCCAAATCAACATAACATCTTGCAAACGATCCATCTTGCGCAACCTTATTAGACCAATTATCCTTCATATCTTGAGGAACAAATTTTGTTGTAGTAATAATATCCTTGGATCCAAAGAGACGACTAATTCTATTTTTTGACTTCACGACCCTTCTTTCTTTGACTTCAACTAGTTTTCCTCTAGATTTTTCGTAGCTAGCTTTCATTGTGAGAATAAATTCTAAAGAGTTTCCGACAGTTAACTCGAATTCCTTGTTTATTAAGGTATTATGGGAATCCATTTTATAGTTGGAGGTTTTAATACAATGAACACCATTATCCAACGTAATCGAGAAATCTGCATGATGATCATTAATATCAGGCAAATCGATATTTTTCAATCCGATAACTCTCAAGAATAATCTTCCTCTTTCTTGTAATCCAGGCAATGGGTCTTTAACATCTAGCTGAGGTTCGGCGTGTAGCTGTTCTTGTTCTTGTTGTTCTTGTTGTTTTTGCTGTTTTTGTTGTTGCCATGCAGTGTGATAATCCTTGTTTACCATACTTAAGGGTTTGGTACTCGAAGTATCATTAGAATAAAAGGAGGGAACTGAAACAGTACTAGGCTTGTAATCATGTTTTGGGTTTTTAGTTTCACTTTTTTTAGGTGAATCTCTCAATTTGATGTTGACTAGTTCCTGTTCAGCAAAAGAACCATCCTCGTTTTCTTTATCATCAGTTTTAGAAGGAGACGAAAAAGATTTATTAATACCTGAATCTTTCTTGACCAATTTAACAGGAGAACCAATTTTAATTGGTGACATTCTCTTTTTGGGTGACATACTCTCTGGAGTTGCAGTTGTCTGATAAGCTTTCGCAAGTGAAACATCATTATCTATTGGTGACATATTAGTCTCTGGTGATTGTTCTAATTTTTGAACTTGATCGATATCCATAGCACTTGGAAGAGGCTTTGAGGTCACATAGTCTTCTAAAGGTGCAGCTGATTCCTTATTATGTATAACAGAAGTAGTTCTAGATGGAGACTGCGAATTATTAAATATATTATCTGAAGTCTTTGGGGGGAAACCAAATTCATTGAAAAGCTGATCTTTCGATAAGAGAGCAGAAGGGATCCTTAATAACTCATTTGCTAGATGAGGTAAAACATTTTTATCGAGAACAGGACTTGATTCGGTAGAAACGTTACATATGGATGCATGTTGTTGTAGATCGTCATATTTGTCATTCGGCTCATTAACGATGGAATTCTTTTTACTATTACCAATCAATTTAACTTTGGAATATTCGTCCTGGCTTATAACTCTTTTCGTTGCTAGTATCCGCTTCACATCATCGCGATCCATGCTAGGTAATGTCTTCATGCCGTGACTTTTGATAGTAGGTGGTTGCTTTATGACATCCTCGAAAATTTCATCATATTGGTTTCTTGGGGATAATGTGGAATTTGTTCTCTTTATTTCAAATGATGGTACTCTAAATTTCGATTGCTTAGTTTGAGTATGTGAATCCTCTGGTTTCAAAGATCTACTTGCATTCGCTTCTGGTTTAAGAGACCTGCTGATCTTGAATCCTTGTTTCAGCAAATTCTTGTTCCAATTATTTCCAACCTTAGGTGGTTCAACCACATTAGGGTTGTTGTCAAGATTAGACAAAACATTTCTTGTATTTAAAGGGGCATACTTCTGACCGTTACTTTCAAGAACTTGTGAATAGTTACTCATACCAGATGTATTATATCCAGATTTAAAAAGCTTCAATTGGCTTCCAAAACCTGAATCCTCTGATAGTTCAGGTAAAAATCCAGAAACGTGTAGGTCTTCAAAACCTGGGCTAACAACTCTTCTGGACATAACATTGACTTCTTTAAACTTCTTAGGTTGCAATGAGGAAGGGAATTTGACTTTATTTGAATCATTTTCTGATGGCTTGTTAACATCATAGGTCAAAGTCGAAATATGATTATTGGTATGAGTATTATATGGCTTCTTCTGCCTTTCTTGTGAATGCCAGATCGAGATGAAGTTGAGAGGCGTGTTATCTACATCATTTTCTGCAGATAATGATTCCTCGTACGAATTATTGGATCTTTCAAGATTCTTCGTTATTTCATCAAATGAAGAATAATTATTTGCTTCAACTTGTGGCAAAGTAATCTCACCAGGAGGTGCGATGTTAGAAGAATTAGCTAAAACATTCTCATCATAATCTTCCAGTCTATCTGATGCTTTATTATTTTGACTTAAGTCTTTCAGCGGAACTGGTGGGTGAGTAGCATCAATCGCTTCATCAACACTACGTGGAGCCAATGTCTTGCCAATAAAATGGTCAGATGCATCCTTAAATTCTTGTGAATTAACCGAAATATTGGGCGATAAATTCACATTCAACAAGCTTTCACCTTTGGTGTTTGAATACATACCTGTTCCTTTATTGTTGTTTTCAAGTCTGTCATCATTCACCGTTGTCAACTCATTGTTGGTATAATCATCATTATCCTCCCTATCACCATCATTACTATCCTCAAATTTCCAATCACTATCTATATGATCTCTGATGGAGAATTTATTGACACTTTCCGTGACTTCCGATGTATCATCAATTGACGTCTCGTCAGTTACTTTCGGTATGTTATCATTATTTAACTCATTTTCTTTACCTCCTTGAGTATTATTCACATCAGATTTAATTAACCTTATATCCTTATGTGTTCTACCATAGCCTGAGACTGATTCAATTTTTGAAGTTGCCTCATACTCATGGTAATTAATATCAGATTCCTTTTTAAGTCCATCATCTCGTATAAATTCAGACTTGGTTAACTGATGTTGTTCATCATCTGAAAATAACATATCTTCATTCCCACCTGAATCCTTGGGTTCATCTTTGACAAATACATTACATTCTGCTTTTTCTTCTTTTTCTTCTTCGTCTTCCTTTTCGTCTTCTTGCTTTATCAACACGCTTCCTAATTGGAATTGGAAATTTGGCTTATTCAAATCTGAATTCGATGCACTTTTCAATAAATTCATAATTGATTGTTCTGTATTTGTGTCAAATGAATCATGGAACTCTTCGTTTTCTGAGTCGTTCATTTCTGATTGTTTTAATTCATTTATACGACTGTTTGATGGAGTTTTCATCATTAACCCTACTTCTTCTTCTTCGTCTTCCTCTCCTTCTCGCTCGATTTCATTATTATCTGTGGGTATTAATGCCTCAACCATATGATTAGAAAACCCTTTGATACCATCATTAAGTTCAATTCCCTTGTTAGGGATAAACTGGCGTCCATTTGATTCCAAGTATCGATTGTTATCCACTAACGACTGTAAAGATGATTGAGAAGAACCTGCTGATCTTAATCTAACTTCTGATGATTTCATCAATGAGTTTAATGGATTCTCTACTTCATTTTGTTCTTGTCTCTTCAAATCCAATGATAAAACGTGAATGTTTGTCCCAGTCTTATTTTTAACTGCATTGTCCAAATTAGTTAAATGATCATCTAATTCCTCTGTCTTCATGTGTTTATTCGATAGGAAGACATCTAGTTTTTCATTTAACGATAAATTACTAAAATTCTGGTGCTTTAATTTTAATTCGTTTAAAGTATCTCTATCCATATCATCTTTATTATCATCCTGCAAAAGTGACGAAAACGTATCAGTTCTATGGACAGGAGGTACAGGAGGTGTCTGATTATCCTCATCTGAAGATTGAGATGATTCCTTCGGAAGCTCATTCCATTCGTGTGGCAATTGGTCAATGCTCTCTTCATTTGAAATGGTAGTTATATTCGATTTATTCGCTGGATAGTGATGTATTTCAGGAGTTGAGTTTGTAAATACAACATTTTTTCTCGAAGGAGACGAAGAATCAGTTTTCTTCATTATTGATTTATTTGGTGACGAGTTATTATAGTTTGAAGTTGCTTCGTCCTCTTTGCTAGGATTATTTAAATCTATAGTTGAAGTCATAGGAGTTTGAGCGATAAAAGAAAACTCTTCATCCTCTAACTTGATTTTAGTTTGAATCGTCTTATTAATTTGATCTGAATCATCAAAGCTGAAATTACGGTCAAAGGAATTATTATTAGTATTACTTTTGTTTTCGTTGGTAGGTCTTGGAGATTCTGATTCACTTATGCATGTATCAGAACTAGAATTGAATTCTTTATTATTTAAATCTGAATTGGAAGCTCTCAGGTTTATGTTTGAATTATGACTGTCTAAATTCTGCTTGGGGAAACTTAATGGTTTAACTGGGGAGTTATTGATTGAAGTGGGTTCCTTACCGTCTGTTGGTTCCGACGCGTCTAGTGTATTAGAGTATTGATTCATTTCTTTTAATAACAAATCAACAGATTCTATATTGATGTTAATAATCTTGTTCCCAGTTTTAGGATTCAGTTATCAAGGCTGTCACGAATGTTAACTGAACCATTTAAAACCGCCTTATTGTACATACCATTTTCATGTTTAAAAATATCATTTCCTGACGAAGAAGTCATATCGTTCACTATTCCTTGTGACCCTTCAGTCTTGTAACTGTAAGTATACATGATAAAGATGAGATGTTGATTGAGTATCTATACTTCTAATGATGATCATACAATCGATCTTTGTTTTCATTTACTACATTTGAAAATTAGTTGTTTATTTACCTTTAATACGAATGTGGTAAGAAATCTGAAAATCATTTATATGCAGGATGCTTAGGTTTTGAAGACTCAAATGTTGCAAATAACTAAGCGATGATAGTTTCTTGAGCATATAACAGGTAATCAAATCAATATATACTGGTCTAAACAGCAATTTAAATGTGAAAATGAAGATTATTGGTATTCCTTGTATTTTCAACATAATTTTGAAAACTTTGTAGAATCGCAACAAATGAGAAATTTACAAAAAAACACAATTTAATACTTAATTACTACAAATTTATGTTAAATTTAAGACTCATCCACTGTATAATGGTATACTACTTTAGCAAAAAGTTTTGAATTCATGAAGTACTCTAATTGATATATCTACTGAAAGAATGAAAAGACACATCGACGTTAAATCTCGATTAAATGTAATTTATTTGATAGATGCAAAAAAATACGTTGGACAGATAAAGTAGAACACAACAGCCTCGCGCGACGTTACACACTTCTGCACTACTCTAGAGCAAAATACTGAGATGAAAAGGTTATCAATAATCAAATCAAAAAAATTCTTGTAGCCATTTTCAAAGAGATGATATTTATTTACTAACATTTGAAAACTACCATATCAGTAAAAGTTAACTTCTGGGGTGTTTTTTCATAAGCCAACATGAAAATGGCTCAAAATTCTTATTCTTGATCCTTAAATATTTGCACTAATGCTTTGCTTGCCATTTTCACATTTATTATGCTATCAGTATCGAACATTAAAATCTCACATTGTGTCGCACGATTCTTAGCCGCGCCCCGAGTAATATATCGTGTGGCGCCTTTGTTCATATAGACAAACTTCTCATCACTGCCCCCTTATTTTCGGGGAGCAAAGGCTCATAAACGAGTTGCTACATTGGATAGCGAAAAATCTCAAATCAGAAGCTCTAAAGCAGAATTGTTCCACAACTGCGCCATCTTCGAGCCGAATTTGTAGCTCTATTACCGGTTTTATTTCTAAAGTATACTTTTTCTACATAACTATTAAAATATAGAGGTAAAAATCAAGCTACAGAAGCAAAGTGATTACTACTTTATGTCATATTCAAATTATGTCGTTAGTAACATAAGCAGGAGATACCCCCTTCCATGCCGATACTTGCGTCAGGTCGCCGAAAACGCGCTTGTGAAAAATTTGCAAGGTTCTCGAGGTAAAGTTACGCGAGGATGCGCTAATATGCTAACAAAAATAAACAAACATACCGGATTGTTGAGTCAACACCACCTCTAGATTGTATACTCCACGTACCTATAATTGTTCGAGAATATGCATACCTTGTCAAATAGTTTGAGCTCTGTATTTAAGTCCTATTTTGATACCCTATCGGTAAAAATTTTCACGTAGATATTGTGAGTATTAAGAACCTGTGGTATTCGTACATACAATTTCATCCATTCCTTTGTGTATACATTATCGAAGTGTAAGCGCTATACCAATTTGTTTTTTTATAAATTATTGAAGAATCCGGAAGTGTCAAATAAATTTGAATTGATAGAACTATTGCTGGTTTTTCTTTTCAACTAAATTTAATATATTGCTTTTTTAACTGCATCAAGCTACTACGTTCGTTTAAACATTTGGTGTGAAGGTACAATGCAATTCAAAACAGTATTATTTACTTTAGCTACTTGCCTTAGCTTGTCTGGTGTTCAAGCCAAGGACTCTTGTTCATTCTCAACTACTATTACTGCAGCTAGTGCTGCTTCACAGTTGAATTCATGTCCAACTTTAGATGGTAAAATTGAAATCACAGGTGATGAAATTACTAGTCTTGACTTCAGCAGTGTTGAAGTAATCAAAGGTGACTTAAAGTTGTTTAACTCTTCTTCTGTTACTGATGTCAACCTTAACCAGTTGAGCGAAATCAGCGGTTCTTTGACTGTCCAAGCGTACACCCAATTACATTCTCTTGATTTAACTTCATTGAGCAAGGCCGAGGAATTATCATTAATTTCTTTACCATCATTTGCTATATTGAACTTGAACAAGGGTATTTCTGATGCTGGTTCTATTAAAATTTCTGACACTGCTTTATCTTCATTAGAAGGTTTAACTAATTATGAAACTGTTGGCTCATTAGATGTGGATAACAACAAGAATATCTCATCGATTGATTTGTCTTCATTACAATCCGTTAAGGACACTTTGGTTTTGAGTTTCAACAGTGATGAATGTGAAGTTAAATTGGACCAATTAATTTGGGCCTCTAACTTGACTATTCAAGATGTTGCCGACTTCTCTGCTAGTAACTTAACTAAGGTTAATGGTACCTTTAATCTTGCTTACAACACTTTTGAATCTGTTGAATTCAAAAAGTTGAAAGAAGTTGGCGGTTCTTTACAAATTTTCGCTAACAACGATTTAACTGATATCTCTGTTGATAAGTTAACTACTATTGGTGGTGAATTCAGAATGTTCAACAACACAGAATTAGAAGACATGGAAGATTCTTTCTCTAAATTACAAACCGTTGAAGGTGCCGTTAATATTGAAGGAAATATCGCTAACTTCACTTTACCTAAATTGAAGGAGGTCGATGGTACTTTCACCTTTGAAACTAAGTCTGACGAATTCGACTGTTCTGCATTTAAGAAGAAGCTTAAGAAGGTTGTTAAGGGTGGTAAGAGTCCTAAATGTTCTGCTCCAAAGAAGAAGAAGTCATCCAGTTCTAAGAAGGGATCTTCTTCTACCTCTTCTTCTTCTTCTTCATCTACCGATAGTTCAAGTTCTGGCTCAAGTTCAAGCTCAAGTTCTTCTTCCACTAAATCCTCGAACGCTAATGTTTTGATTAATAGCACCTTCATCTTGACTATTGCTATTGGTGCTGTTTTTGCTTTATTTGTCTAGTCTATACAAATAAATTATTATACCCTTTAATGGTACCTATATAAACTAATAAATTGATAATTCATAAGTTAATAAATTGTAATTTGTATTTTTCATATTGAGCTATATTTTTATTGATAAGATAATATTTCCTAATTCATATTTATAGAAACATAAATAGAAGCTTTTTTGGTGCGGAATTTTTTCAGTACTGCTGTGAGTTATTCGTGATATTGAATTTCAAGTTTCAAGGCTAATTGTTATATAAAACGTGAAAAAGTCTTGTTAGCAGTCTAATAAATAAAGGGGTTTTTTTATTTAATTAGCTTTTCAAATTAATCTAGTATAAAAAAGAAATTTCGTTGTGATCATGTCTGAATCAATTATTGAATCATTTAAGAAAGCAGGCCAAGAACATCTATTAAAGTATTTCGAGTCTTTATCTAAAGATGAACAGTCCTCATTTGAAAGCCAATTATCGAAAATTGCTGATCCTTCAGAATTGGTGTCTACAGTTCAAGATGCCATTAAATTTTCTTCCTCCAACGTGTCATCTAAAAACTATACGCAATTACCACAAGAATGTTGTGCATCTACTTTAGAAGCCGAGAAGGATCTTAAAGATCAATGGTCAAACTTAGGCTTAAAGGCTATTGCAAACAACGAGGTTGGTGTTCTTTTGATGGCAGGAGGTCAAGGAACGAGGTTGGGTTCCTCAGACCCAAAAGGCTGTTACAACGTTAATTTGCCTTCTGGGCGTTCATTGTTTCAAATTCAAGCAGAGAAGATCTTGAAGGTCCAGTCATTGGCTAAGGCCGATTTCCCTGGTTCTAATCCTACCTTATATTGGTATATTATGACTAGTGGTCCAACCAGATCACCAACAGAAAAATTCTTTCAGCAGAATAATTGGTTTGGATTGAATAAGAGCCAAATATTATTCTTCAACCAAGGAACTTTGCCATGCTTTAATTTGGACGGATCAAAGATATTATTGAACTCCAAAAATGAGTACTGCGAATCTCCAGATGGAAATGGAGGTCTCTACAAAGCTATTGCAACAAATGGTATCTTGGAAGACTTTGAAAGGAAGGGAATTAAGCATATTCATATGTATTGTGTTGATAATTCACTTGTTAAGGTTGCTGACCCAACTTTCTTAGGTTTTGTAATCGATAGAAAATTCGAGTTAGCTACAAAAGTTGTTAGAAAGAGAGACGCTAACGAAAGTGTTGGTCTAATTGTTCTTGACAAGGATAATAATAAGCCATGCGTTATTGAATATTCAGAAATATCTTCGGAATTGGCTAATAAGACTGAACCAAATGATTCACTGAAATTATTCTTGAGAGCTGCTAATATTGTAAATCATTATTACTCTGTTGATTTATTGAAGAGAATGATCCCAAAATGGATTTCATCTCAAGAATTTTTGCCATTTCATATTGCTAAGAAGAAAATTCCTTCTTTAAACGAAAATGGGGAGTTTGTCAAACCAACTGAACCAAACGGTATTAAGTTAGAACAATTCATTTTTGATGTTTTCCCATCTGTCGAATTATCGAAATTTGGTTGTTTAGAGGTCGATAGGTCGAGCGAGTTCTCTCCATTGAAAAATGCCGATGGAGCTAAAAATGATACACCAACCACTTGTAGAGAAGCATACCTCAAGTTAGGAACTAAATGGGTCATTGAAAATGGAGGTGTGGTTGATGGCGGATTAGTTGAAGTGAGCGGCTTAACTAGTTATGAAGGGGAAGGATTAGAATTTGTTAAAGGCAAGCATTATAAAGATGGTGATGAAGTATAGAGTTACTGTGTGTTTCTGTCACCGTAAAATATTTATTTGAAATATTAACTATAAAATTATATAGGTTTTTTATAAATGATGAATCATCAAATGGTTTAACAATCATGTAGTTGTTTCATGACTCGGATTCTGAGTAAATTGATCACTCCAATCTGATGAGGTTGATGAAACCATCTTGGTTGAGCTCTTAGGTTTACAATTATTCTGCCTCTTTCCAAATCTGATAGGTCCATTACCATTACTTCTAATAAATTCCCGTTTAGGAGTGCGTATCATGCGGTTTTTAAGAATCATTGGCTCAACGAACGTGAAAAGAATCAAGAGCAGCATGAATATCTTCAAATATTGCATTATGTTTTTAATTTGTTGCAATTAAAGAGACCAGTTCATTTTCGACACCCAACTCCTTTATTTAATACATTTCATCTTATTTATATTCAATCACTATGTACATTTTGCAGTCGTCAACCAAATTTCCCTACTCGCGCAGTTACAGATTTTTCAGTTTCCTATTTCAACTCTCACAATATCTGCGTGTGTGTTAACTTCTAATTTACTGGCATATATCCAAGTTACAGGTTTATTAATTATTGATACTTCTTGTATTGTTCTTGGCGATTGCCAAATTCGATCATCGTAATAGTTTGAAAAAATTACTTTACTCGTATCCAAAATTATGAAACCTCTGTTCTTCTTATCAGCATACCCCAATCAGGTACTGGCTCTCTTATACCAAAAGTTGCATTTCTCAAGCTTCAGTATAAATAATGCACCATGTCTCCAATTCCTTGGTATACCCATTAACTTGTTTAGAACAATCAATCTCGTCATAAGTTTTCATACGTGTACATCCCCGGAATCTGGGACTGTCCCTTTTTTTGCTCTCATAGACGTGGTTTATCAACGAATAGTCTCATGAGACAAATTATAAAACGATTAAGACTCTGTTTCCAGACCTCATTGTCCAGAACGTAATTCCGGGCTATCCTAGGCCATCTATTAACACCATAGATACATTGCTGCGAATGAAATTCTTTTCGCATTATTACGTCAAACAGCAAGTAACCACGAATATGTGCACTGCTTCGTTCTTGCCCTCATCGTTTTACTATCTCTCAAGGTGATGTGAGGGTTCAAAGACCATCTCTCGATACATAATTTAAATTTAAATGTTAAGCGAGAACGTAAATATATTGAGATTTATTGGTCTAGCTAAACTAGATTCATTGAACTATGGGTCTATACCGTGGTGCTGCAACTTTATCACTCAGAATCTGAAATTACCCGCACATAGCCCCCACCAGGACACCCGAAGTTTTTCATAGCCAATAGAAATAACGTCGAAATTATTTTGCCAAATTAGTGAAAAATTATAAAAGATTCATAATCCCAGTATAGGATTAGGATATTATTCATATTTTGAAGCAAGAAGGCTGTTGTAAGTTTAGTTAGGCTTACTCGATAAAAAAAATTCCATTTTCAGCTCGGTATCAAGAACGGAAAGTTTCCCCATATCATTCCTGCGAATCGCCCTAGAAAAATTCAAATATAGATTGTCGAATTTATAGAAAAGAAAAATATATTCATTGAAAGATACCCCATAATAAGAAAATAACATGCCACGTCGTCAAAGTAATGCTCCGTCGCAGCCACTTGTTGCCACGATTGATATAGGTACAACTTCAGCAAGAGCTATTTTGTTTAGTCAACAGGGTGTTGAAGTTGCCAAACATCAAATCGAATATTCCACCACCGCCTCTGAGGCTCCAGCGGAATCCGAGAATAAAGAGCAATTTAGAAGAAGATCGTCTCTTATGAGACATAATCAGCCTATTTTCACTGCTGAAGGTATTGCTATCTCCATTACAGATGATATTGAGATTGAAAATAATGCTGCAAGTGTTGGTCCTACGTTGAGATTCCCACAACCGGGATGGGTTGAATGTATGCCAGTTCATATATTGGCTAATGCAGTTCAGTGTTTGGTGGCCTGTTTGATTACTTTGAGAAAAATCAATCAAAACCCAGAGTTGAAAATCAAGTACAAGGTCAAGGCTATTGGTATTGCTAACATGAGAGAGACTACTATTGTGTGGTCACGTAAGACCGGTAAACCTTTGAGTAATGGTATTACATGGACCGATACCAGAACTGCTGAGATTGTTCTGCACTTGGAAAAGACAATTGATGAAGAAAGAAAAGAAGAATTGAAACAAAAGACAGGGTTACCATTATCTACATATTTCTCGGCCGCCAAATTGCGTTGGTTAATTGATAATGACGATACTATAAAGGAAGAGTACGAGAAAGGTGATGGTAACTTAATGTTTGGTACTGTTGATACGTGGTTGATTTACCATTGACAAAGGAAAGGTCTTTTGTGTCCGATGTTACCAATGCATCTAGAACCTATTTTATGGACTTAGGCACTCGTGATTACGATGATGATTTATTAGATTTTTGGGGTATTGACCCTACAAGAGTAGCCTTACCAAAGATTGTATCTAGTTCAGAATTTTATGGATCATTCGCGGCGCCAAACTTGTCTAACTTAGGATTTCACAACAAAATCACTCCAGAGGCATATGAAATATTGAAAACTATTACTGGTACCCCAATTTGTGGGTGTCTTGGTGACCAGTCGGCCTCTTTAGTAGGTCAATTAGCATTTAAACCTGGTTCAGCCAAATGTACCTATGGTACTGGTTGTTTCTTGTTGTATAATACTGGTAATCGTAAATTAATTTCTGAGCATGGTACATTAACAACTATAGGATTTTGGTTCCCTAACTTGAAGGGTGAAGACGCCAATCCGCATTATGCATTAGAAGGTTCAATTGCCGTTGCAGGTTCAATTATTCAATGGTTGAGAGATAACTTAAAGTTGATAGAACACGCCAAAGATGTTGGTCCATTAGCCTCTCAGGTTGATAATGCCGGTGGAGTTGTATTCATTCCAGCTTTTTCAGGTTTATACGCTCCATACTGGGATGCTGGTGCTAGAGGTTCTATTTTTGGTATGACACAGTATACCTCTTCTTCACATATAGCAAGGGCCGCGTTAGAAGGTGTTTGTTACCAAGTTAGAGCTATTTTAAGGGCCATGGCTAATGATGCCGGAGCAAGTGAAGACTTTTTGGAAGAAGCCTTAAATAAGCAAAATGAGAAAAAGCCATTATCTGCATTATCTGTTGATGGTGGTATGTCAAAGGCTGATGAAGTGTTACAAATTCAAGCGGACATTTTAGGACCTTGCGTGACAGTGAAAAGGGCAACTATATCTGAATGTACCGCATTGGGTGCAGCGATTGCAGCTGGTTTATCATTTGAAGATGAAGAAGAAAGAGTTTGGAAAGATTTCGATGATATTTATGAAAAGATTAACGGAAATGATGATGAAAAGAATAATTTCAAAGCGAAATTACCTGATACAGATAGAAGAAAGAATTGGAAGAGGTGGGAGAAAGCAGTTGAGAAAGCTAAGGGCTGGTTAGATGAAGACAATTAATGTCTTATAAACTTTACTTAGATTTACGTAATTGAATAGAATGTAAATGCAATGTATTATGATATATTATCTATTTATTTGCGGTTTCTTCTTCAAAGCTACTATTGTAATCGTCTATATCCACCATACCTTCTTCGAATGTGATATTTTCTTCCTCGCTTAGAGAAACATTAGCATCTAAGATACTTCTATTATTGAAATCTTCCATTGCCTCGAAGTTAAATGAACTGTTTGCCATTTCTTCTTTATCCGTATCTTCTTTGGAAGATCGGTTATTAAATAATCCATTAACAAACTTAGAGGTTTTAGATGTGAATTCATCAAATTCATTCTGTTGTGTAGCCAAAAATGTTTTAAGTTTTTCATTATCATTAATTTCAATTCTACTTCTGACATCTTTAACAAAGCTCTTTAGCACTGGTGCATTTAATTGGGTCTGACTTATTTGATCTTGAACTTTGGTGAAGTAGTTGCTAAAATTATTTATGGATTTGGTTTTTTTAACAGGGGAAATGGTGCCTGGGGATTTGGAAGAATTGAAATTGTGGTGTGTTTTATTGTTAACATTTCCCTGGTTGATCAGGAATATGTTTGATGCTCTCTTTTTCAAATTATTCAAATTGTTAAAGTTACTCATATTTGTTTCTTCCTTTGGTTGTTCAATATCTTTCTCAATTTTAGAAGCTATTTCAGCCAATTCAAATTTTGTTACTTCAACTTGTTTTTCTAATTCAATTAACTTTCTCTGCTTGGAAGCAAACTGAATCATCAAGTCTTCTTGCGACGATTCATTTTGCTCAATAATTGCTTCATTTATCGGGACATACACAGGCAACCCTGTTTTACCTTTCGATTTGGTTGGAGTATTACTAATATTTTCTTCTTCACCTTTATTAGGGGAAAGGGAAAATTTTACTAGCCCTGTTGATTCACTAATGATTCTTTCATTCTTGTTAGCAGTGATATCGATTGTTCTCTGATTCACTGGACTTAATATTGAATAAGACTTTCTTTTATTTATTGTTCTCAGAGAATAAACATTCTCCTTACTTACTTCCGTCATTCCAATCCTATGACTTCTTAAAAATGACCAAAGAGTATTTTAATCCTTTCATAGAAAACTAGTTTCTTATTCTGAGATGTTGCAGTAAATAAATGATATTTCCTAATACGGTAATTCAATAACAAGTATTACGCACATGAAGATTTTAACGAATTTTAAAAATCCAACCATCAGTTTAATGTCAATCTTCGACGATTGCTACGTAAAATATTTAAGTTCTTTTATTAACTTGGTTTAAAAATATAGTTATCAATCCATCAATAATAAATTATAATGTCATTTGCTGGCCGTCTTAAATGTTACATCTCAAGTTTCTTGGTTATTTATGCTGTATACTTGTTGACCTATAAATGCAGTAAGTTGGACGAATCACCATTAGAACATGGAATTGAGTCCGTATTCCATCCTTTATCTCACCATCACAGCAGCTTTTGTGATGGATTGAACAAGGGTGTCCATTTTGTCAACCCATATTTCGAAACTGCCGGTAATTATTTCGATCAACATGTTCGTTCTCATAGCTTATTCAAACAATATGCAATTGATAATAAATTAGAAGTTGTGAAATCTTCTTACTATAGCCACGTCTACCCATTGGTGATTAAATTTTTTGAATTTTTTGAAGTTGTTGAATATCATGTTTATCAACATTTTGCTCAACAATGGGCTAGAGTGCAAGATTTCTATACTAGTCAAATTGCTCCAAAATTGGCTTAATATCTATTTATATTTGTGACTTTAATTGTTTAACTATGTATATATGATAATATACGCTTAAGTGTGATTCAAATAGCTCAGTTTAGTTAATTTTTTTTTAATTAACTGAGCTACGTAATTAATCCTACTCAAATCCATAGTCTTAAAGAACAGAGATAAAATTTACCGAAACCCAAAAACCTTATATGAAGGTTAAGCAAGTTGTATCTAATGAGAACTTTCATGTCCTATAGTATATATTATTATTGTATATCACATATACTAAAAAAAGTGCACTATAAGATCATGAATATAAATACTTTATGATGTAATGTTATATATTATACCTAATTAATCTTGATCTTCAGAATCAGGACCACTTTCATCACTATCATGGCCAGACTCATAGTCCAGACGCGATCCTTCAGATTCCTCTTCTTCAAGTGCATTCTCGTCGCTACTGAAAGTAGCTGCTTGCTCGTCCTCCGTCGCTTGGGTAGCTGATCCTTCAGTGGTTGACGACTGGTCAAAATCTTGTGAGTCTGTTTTTTTGGATTCTTCCAACTTATCTATTAAACCTTCTCTTAATTGAAATGCCACATTAGCTTTGGCTCTTACTAATTTCAAATATTCCTCGTTATCATTAGTTAAAAAGTTCGCATGAAAATATACGTTTTTCATATAAGCACTCCAATTTTCTAAACCAACGGGGATGACATCTATAGAAAAATCATTCTGATAGTCATTGGCTTGATTGAAAAGCAAATCTCTAGCATTAAAAATGTCTTGCTTTATTTTATGGAATCTCTTCCATGCTTTCCATGTAATTGCATCATCGAATTCTTGTTCATTTTCTAAAATAGCGATTAAAGCATGTAACCTATTGGAAAATTCTTGAATTGTCAATTCAGCAAAGGATTCCAATACATCGATGGTTTCCTGAATCTCTTTAAAGTAGTCGCGTAAGATTTCATGGTGATTCTTATTCATAGACTCCTTAATATCATTTATTTCTGACTCGCAGTATGTTAATGACTCGCTTATTTTATCTCTCATGTCTTGCCTTGAAAAATATTCACGGTTTGAATCATCAGAGCTCTCTATTATCCTATCTTCTTCTTGAATCTGAGCAGAATCCTTATCAATTGCATTAATCATTTTATTCAACTCTTGATAATGCTTATAGTTAGTTTGTTGTATTTGGGTAAACTGGTCAGATAATTTAGGTTTAATTCTTTCAATGCTAGAGTTTACTGAGCTCGACATATCTTTAGACAAATTTTTCAAAGCCGAATTCAAGGTCTTATTCACTTTATTCTCCCAGTAGTTTATTTCTTCCTCGATTTTACGACCAATGGAATTGTCAACAAAGCTTGGCTCATTGGTTTCAGTTTTTAATGTAACATACCTAGTCGAAGTTAGCAGAATAGTGATTGGTTCGTCGCTATCACTATCTGATTCATCAATTGACGAATCAGCTTGTGCGGACGTGATAGTGGAATCAGTCACAATGGATTCCGAAATGGATGTAGACAGAACAACAGGGCTAGTTATTTCTTCGAGAATATCCTTAACAACTTCAGCCACCTCTTCATCATTTGCCTTAGGAACTTTATCTGTTTTGAAATGCATCAAGTTTTTGAATTCGGTTTTCAAAAAGTCACTCTTTTCTTGAAAACTATTAACATCCATTAGATCTTTGTAACTGCGAGAAATACAATCAACTATCACATCCAATTTGTATTCATGAAAATAATGCTTTAAAATCAAATAAGAAGAGCTGTTTTCAATTTTCACCAAGTAAACCCTTATAAATGGTCTAATTTGGTTTGAAAAAATATCATTCGTTTTGTAGCTCAATTTAGCCCACATTATATGAGCATTGAATTGCAAGAATTCCCAAGACCTTATAAAACGAACTTGAGTATAGATTTTTAGTTTATCAACCCATACTCTCAATTTAGGGGCAATTCTAACATTGATTTCGAATATAGTTGATTTCATTAATGAAACCAATGGCGTGAAACCTAAATTAAACCTTTGTACAAATCTATGTGATTTCTCTCTTATTTGACTAGACCATGGTTCTAAAGTGGCACTGAATTCACTTGCTCTATTGCTAATTTGATGTAAAAGGTGGTCAATATGAAGGGCTGAACTAATTTCCCTCAGCTTAGTTGTTACTGTATTAACATATGGATCAATAGAAGGCTTAATGTACGCATAGCTCTCACAAGTCAAATTGTTAACCAAAATCGTTGAAGATTGCTGTGGACAGATAAAATTGATAACATAGATCACATAAGTGAGAATGGTCAATGGAACCATCCATTTTAATATACCTGGCATGCTTAATTAGCTTGTTAATATATATTGTTATGAAATGATTTGTGGTTGTTTTTATTCGATGGATTGTACTGCATATACAATATTAAGGACTAACCAAGTCTCTTCGTAAACATAAATCAAAGCATTAAATAACTGTATTAGAATAGCCTACGCTTAAACCCAGCTCTTTAAAAAAATCAAACGGTTTACAACAATATTCCTTTCTGGTTATAAGGAAAAATGTATCATAATTTGGTAATGCAAAAAAAATATGCCTCCTGCCAGAATTGAACTAGCGACCTTTGCATTACAAGTGCAACGCTCTACCACTAAGCTAAGGAGGCGTATTTATATGAGAAAGGTTGATTGAAACTATCTAAATATAATATATATTATGAAATGCTGCAAAAACTATACTTCTCCAGTATTAAAATCTCCACTACTGAATCCCGAAAATAAGATTTGAATATAGAATTAAATCAATATCTGGACATTTGGGAATTATTCTTTAAAATCAATTCAAGTTATTTTCTTCTGCTTAGTTTAAGCAAAGAGTTCAAAGATTATTACATTGAAAACGAATTGAGCCTCTATTGAATAAAATCACTCTACTATATATAGAAATTATTGCAAAGATACATGGTTCAATTTAATTCAAGTTCTTAAGTTTATCAGAGAATCATAAGATGGAGAAAAGTGCAGAATTTATTTCCAGAGATATATGATAGAAATCATTCTAAAAATAAAGTATGTACGAACTTTGTAGCCGTTTTCCTTCATGGGGCAATCAAACGATAATAGTTTGAATAATGATTTTGTATTAAAGGAGAGATTTTGGAACAACTAGTGGTTAGAAAGGTCGGCTAATGATATTTTACTAGCCGTTCCTTCCAAGAGAGGTAATAGATGCGCGTAGATAATTCCTCCCCGTGGTGAAACTATTATATAAATTTATCAGGTAAGTTGTGGCCGATGCCGAGAGAAACTTTGCTAAATTCATCAAGGGTGGTGGGTAGGATAGAGTACAATGCCCGACCTAGCCTCATACATAAGTCTGAATCCGAAACTCTGCAATATACGGGTTTCTGAACTCATATTCTACATTTTGCTACAATTTATTTTACTTATATCAGTCTCTATTCTATTAAATATTAAATCCATAAATGTACAAATGAGAAATGAAAATCTTGATATCATAATCGTAAGCATCGTAATCATAAGAAGCATAACTTGTCATTAAAAAATATTTTCTATGGCGAAAGTATTTGGGCTCTCCCTATGAGAAGCCTCAAAGTGGTCTGTAGACCTCGTTATTAGTAAATTATCCTGCTTTGATACATCTTTACTTTTCTTATCATGATATGACACATAACTGCTATCAGCATCAAATGTGTAATTAGATTGGTTCAGATCTTCTTCATCAGATAAGGATGAATTCTCGTCGTCTGTCAAAGACGTACTACGAGAAAGCTCTGGGATTTCCTCATCTCCTCTGTCTTCTTCAACTCCTTCATCATATTCGTCTTCCTCTTCTTCTTGTATCGTATATTGTGAAAGATCCATAGATGGTAACTGTTTAAATGATTGGACTTTGGCAATCTGTATAGATGGAATTTGTATTTCTTCTTCTTCATCAGAATCTGAATAGTAGTAATAGTCCGAATCGCTGTCAGATTCATCTTCGTCGTCGTCATCAGAATATGAATCGGAGTCTGAGTCTGAGTCTGAGTCTGATCCAACTTCGTATTCTGTAACTTTAGTAGAAACACCTTGTTGTATCTTTCTTTCTGGCAATTGGAAGCTCACATGCTTTTGGTCGCTTTCGACCTGAGACGACATGTGCTTGGTGACTCTCTTGTCGGTTTCTTCAGCAAGATGGTCCATTATGTTGTCTAACATATTTGCTTGCGTCACCAATACTCTCAAACTAGAGTTTGGGTTAGATGCTTGTTTAGTCAATTTGTTTCTTACTGTCGATGCAAAGATATACGTCTGTGCAAACGACATAGTCGTATCTGGAATTGGCATTATTAATTTATTGTGTATCCTTGTTAACACATGTCCCAAGTATCAGTATCAAATATGCAACAGTATTGTTATTTATATAGATTTACTTGATATTAGTCATCGGGTCTTAAACGGAAATAACGATCTTAATTTTGCAATCCGATTACAAATTGGTGAGAATAACGGCTCGGAACTAAGGGAAATAACGAGCTTAAGTTCGATCCGAAAATGAAAATAACTCCGCGATTTTTAATCCGCTTAGCAAGCAATCTCCTTATTTGCGCTAGGCCCGAACAGAAACGTTTTAAGTATCCTTTGAACCAGACCCCGTATGCTTTCAAAACCTTATTAAACACAGTCATTACTAAACGGTATACACTTTCAGTAAAGCCGCACTGGATGATTCATCATCTCCATTATTCCATAGAATATAAAGTATACCTGTTTTAGGCGATTACAAATAATGTATGTATAATTTGTCATATTATAACGGTTATGGATCGGTGATACTTATGACAAAAAAAGTATGCATGCTGATAGGAATGAGTCGAACTGAGTAATATATTCATATCTGTACTTAGGTCTCGTATGTAAAAATGGTTTTGCCGTATCCACGGAACAGTTGTAGTACTTCTAAGCAAGGCATTTAGGACGGGTTTGTGCTTGCTGCAAGCAGCTAGTAAATTTTTACTGCTCTGCATTGACTAGAGCTTTGGAAGGGCTTGGGTCAGATGACTAATTCTATTCGAACTACACTTTCACTTGCGCTACACTTGGTGTTGATATAACACCTCTGTGAACATTAAGCTCTGACCACTTCTCTTGGCTACTTCGAGAATGGTTCTATAACTTGTCTACATCTAGCATACAATATGATACAACCGTGAATTTAATATTTATAAGACTAGATAAAAAACCACAAATTCATTAAATAAAATCATGCAAAAATGGAAATTTATGATTAATGGAAATAAATATCCTATTCTCTCTTCTTTTTTTGAAGTAATAATTTTGTAATAGTTCTTTAATGTTTGCTAATTGAATTAATCTAATCGAATAAACCCATACCCATGTCTTCATCGGATTCTTCAGCTTCTTCAGCAGCTTCTTCTTCAGCAGCTGGAGCATCACCAGCAGCAGCTGCGGCACCGCCAGCAGAAGCAGCAGCAGGAGCAGCAGCAGCGAATGAGAATAATAATTCCTTTAAGTCCTTACCTTCTAAAGCCTTAGCGTAGACATCAGCCCAGACATCTTCAACAGAAGCACCGGCAGCTTTGGTAATAGCTAATAATTTGTCGGAGGTAATTTCGATTTCAGCATCGGCCAAGATTAAGGCAGCGTAAGAGACAGAAGCTTCAGTAGACATCTTTAATTTCTTATATTTCTTTAATGTACCTAAGTATACTATGTAACGTCGATTAAATTTTTCATTAGTTTTGGTGTTCGTTGATACTTTCACCTCAGTCAAGTGACCCGTGCGAAAATGACAGATCCCATACTAATCAGTTTTGTGTCTCAAACGGGCTTTCATGCGATGATCACGAGAAGCAGTCACAATGTATACATATACATTCTTACTATATCCTAGATGGTACTTAAAACGTATTTTGAACATAAACTATAGACAACTTTAAAACTATTAACAGGTAAAACGCATATAAAACATACTGATAGGGACTGGCTTTTGAATTTGTCAAAAAGCCTTTAGATTTTCATTAGATCAATTCAAAAACTTGGTGAGATCACTTAACCAATTTCTGTATTCCTTCTCTTCTTTAAATTCACTGAACGAGATAATGAATTCTGCTAATTCATCATCAATTCCCTTCGATTGTAAATAAGTCTCGAATCCAGTTTGAACAGATTCATCCAAGTCAGAAAATCTAGGACCTTGGTATTTGAACTTATCGATAAATTCATTTTTGGATAAGATTTGATCGTTTAAGAGAGAAGATACATTGTTTTGGTAGTTAACAAAGTCGATCAAAAACGATGATTCGGAGGCTTGTAAGAATAAGTTCAATAATAAACCATCGTTGCTGTTTGGCTTTTCAATCAAGACTCTAACATTGCAAAGTAAGGAATCTAAAGATTCAACTTCTTCTTCCATATCCATCTCTTCAGCAGTAGGTTCACTGACTGGAATATCAGTAACTTCATCGATGTCAAAAAAGATTCTAATAGTTTCACCGCTTTCGTCTTCTTTGACTAATTGAATGTTTGAATTACCTTCAGTTTCGATAACTTTGTATCCACTTTTATTTGCAAACTCTTGGTAAACAGGATCCAATTCATTTGGGATAGAGTTGGAAAGCTTCAATTCTTGTTTCAAAACTTCCTTCAATTGCTTATCTGGGGTTGTTGAATAGTTGAATTTGCTAATTAAAATTGGTGATGATCTTGCTAATTGTGGTGCTATTCTTAAATTGTTTGCAATGATTTTTTTACCCATGCTACGGGCAGATTGACGCAAGGTTGAAGTAAGCATTCTTGAGGACATACTAATTGATTGATCTAGTTCCCTTTATAATTGAATCAGTGGGTGTTCTTAATTATCCGTATTCAACTGAACCGGTCCAAACGATGTGCTAAAAACTATCTGGTGTAGACACTACTGTGATCATATATTTTAGCAGCTTTCTGCAATCCCAGAACCGTTACGATAAACACTAAATATCAATTGTTGTAACTATTACGTGGTTTGAATTTACTAGAGTAGCGTTGTTTTGTAGGTATAAATAATTTTCTACCATATTTAATTTCAAATCTTAAGTACGATTTATATTAGATAATGATTAGAATTATAAAACAATTAAGCATGTTGCTGAAAATATATGTAGAGAAGAAAAAGTAAATGTAATAGGAAATGTTTTTAGTGAACGGTAATGTACAGATGAATCTTCTATTATATACTCAGATTTATAACAGTTCAAGAGCTTCAAAGTATTCCTGAACAAATGCTGATGATCTTCTGTAGCGACGTTCTTGGTATTTTTCAAAGATGGCTTTATGGTTAGATTCGGCATTACGACAATTTTGCAATAAGATTTCTGCTAATGGTCTTAATTGAGATTCAGTATAGCCAGAATAATAAACATGAGCTTCTGTCCATTGTCCTCTGTTAAGTAACTTTCTTGATAAGTAATGAGCTCCAGCTGCTAACCAACTTGGTTGAGAGGCGACGAATCTTGAATCCATTATTGTGATTTCTAAAAAGTATTTAGCCAAGGTCCTGGTTTCATAATCATAATCGTCAGCTTTACTAGTTCTTCTTAAAAAGGACATTGGTCCAGGCCAACCCATATCAAACTCCAAAACATCAATCATGAATCTCTCTGCTTTTAAAAATTCATCTACTGTATACGCATTATCAGCCATGTATGCAACTTCTTGAACAGTTGGACAATTGATTTCTTCATACTTTGCAGCAATGAATAATGCAACAGCGCCAACTAGTTGAAACCTCGATAACGAAACCTTACGTTTACTTAAAAATCTATCAATGTAATTTACCGTCAAGAATAATGTTTCCGGTAACAAATTGAATCTATTGTGAACTTGGACAACCCAATCAATTAAGACGCTTCTCATCTCCCATTTCAATTCGTCTTGGTTACTCATATAATTTGGATCAGGAACCAATCTATATTCAAGCTCATGCATGTAGTTAAAAATCTCTGGTGCATACTCTGCAACCATAGTAACATCAAATGTATCTTCGTCAGTTTCATCTAACGTGTTTCTAGAGAATTTCTTCATGACATATTGTAATTCATTGAATATAGCTTTGTTCCATTTTGGTTCCATAGGCTTATTATAATCTTCTTCGTCTTCTTCCTCTTCTTCTTCTTCATCGTAGTCTTCCTCTTCTTTTTCGTCTGCCTTTGGGTCTACCTGAACGATTTCTTCTTCGTCGTCGTCAAATTGCTCTACAATTCTGTTTTGATTAGCAAACTCAAATCCAATATCTTCAAGATTAGACACATCTGAACTACCCCCTAATCGATCAAAATGAAATTTGAGTACATCGTCAGAGTTCTGGCTGTTATCATAATGTTCGTTTGTGCCAAGTTCGGGTCTTGTACCTAATTCTTCATGTGGTCTTTTTTGCTGTTTTTGTTTATAAATGTGTACTTTTTGAAGAGAATTTTTCAAATTCAAATCAACTTTCCTATTTTCATTAAGCTGAGTTAAATCACCAAGTGCTTCTCTCTTATCAATACTCGAGGTGATGTTATTAGTATTGCTATTATTTGAATTTTTGGAGATCAATTTTGCACTGGTGTTACTTTTTGACTTAATCCGGGAGTTTTCATCGAAAGACTTGGTTTGATGTTTAAAAGATTTCATGTTAAGCGAATGACAATAGTAATATATTATTAATACCAGTTAATTTTTATGCTAATAGATGTTTTTTTTTTGTTATTGTTGTTATTGTTGTTTTGATGTTAGTTGTTGTTAGTGGAACTATTGAAAACAAACAGCAAATATTAATTAAACAAACCTCAATGTATTTTGTAGCGATTGAAATATGTTTATACGGATATAAACAAAGTTGGAACTGATAAGTTTGTTAATTGATAATTTGCTTCTTGAATCAAGAGTATTGTTCTAACAAAAAAAAAGGATATTTGGTTGATTAGTGATTACTGGTGAGCAAATAACCTTTGTCAAACCTAATATAGTGATTGATGTTACCAAAAGAAATATTAGTATGAATATGATACTAATTATCAATTTCTAGTCACTATTACAAAACAAAGTTAGTAATTTTATGTTTGTTGTAGTTGATGGTTTGTGGTATTTGGAATGTAAACAAATAAAATCGCGATTTGTTTTCGCAGCGTACAAAGTGCTGCTCCAGAAACACTGACCTGGCTATATAAGCAAATATAAAATGTAACTACAATAATACAGAGCGCACATTCAATACAAATTGTATAATAATAATATAATAAGATGTAATTGTAGGAATAAAGGCTTTTTCGTGGTATATAATATAACGCTTCCGGAGAATTTTACTAGTAAAGGTGGAATAGGCTGTTCTAACTGTAAAGGGTAAACTAGCTATCATCTGCAATACTAGCACAGATTACAATCTGGACCCAAGTTACATTGGAGCTTCTTGTTGGTATAAATATTATCAGTATGTGTCTATTGAGCTCATTGCGTATAATATTCAAACTGTGTCATAATATTAATGCATTGGACGGTTGAGAGACCTACAAACGACATATATCGAATACATGGCCATTACTTGGTATGAGTATATATCACAAGGTTCAGATAATACATACAGTTGAATTATATATCAATCTAGTGTTTTTGTTGGATATATTGTAGTTTCATGTTTATTCAAATTTCTTAAAACTAACGGTGAATGCGATTGCAAAATCTCCTTTTATCCAAAATTTCACCACAAATTTTCCCGGTGTCAATGATTTTTATTATTTTCTTCAAGCTTCTAATCGATAGTAGCTTCATTTCTTTCGTCTCTTCTTCTTCAATCACTCGTAGGGAAAAGGCATTGGTAATGAGTTGTATCAGACTCTTTAATTGAACTTGATTTGAGTTTTAAATCTAAAAGTCAGCACATTCTGAATCTTCAGTAGGCTAGCCTTGAAAGGCTATGTGGCCTTATCGACTAATTCAGTGTATTAGGGGCTTGCAATTTCTACATTTGAAAGGCAATGCTTATTTGATGGCTATCCCGTTATGATGGTGGTCTTTGCTTATGTAATCAGGATTGATTCTGAATCATAAAATACAAGCGTCCGGTTATATCGGTCAACAACAAAAGTCCCTTCCTATATCATCACAGAATAGTTGCAAGCTTTACAACTTGCATTGAATTGAAAATGACCACGTTGAGAGTAAGTAGCGGCGAGGAAATTATTCAATTAAAAGGTCAACTAGTTGATACTCACACTAGATGCAGACACTACCATTCAATATTAGACATAATAGCAATAAAGTTCAAATGTTGTGGTACTTATTTTCCCTGCTATAAGTGTCATCAAGAACTGGAGAGTCATGATATCATTCGATGGAAAAAGTTGGATCTTGATTCTGAAAAAGTCATTCTCTGTGGGTTGTGCTGCAACCTACTCTATTATCAAGAATACTCAGCCAATGATAACAAATGCTTATATTGCAATAGTAGTTTCAATCCTAACTGCAGTCTTCACTACGGTTTGTACTTTGAAATGTGACTTCAATTCGCCTACTATTTCATCATGTTGCAATATGGTGAAAAACGGTCATACTGCACATAGCCTTTGCCGCTTCTCCTGTGACTATCATCATTTTAAAGGGCTATATATATATGATTTCGTCCCTTCTTCTATCCAATTTTATTCAATATAGCAATTATGACTCCGTTGTCCCCTTCACCAGCAGATTCTCTGGATATTTCAGATAAAACTACCATAATTATATCTAACTTGGACAAAGATGACTTTGTTAGTGATCATAAGTCTATGACCAGCAAAATGTCATTTGTTGACCAAGTAAAGTTACATATCTTAAATTTGCCAGCACCTGCAAATGCTTCATATGGAGAAGATTACTACCTAAATATGATCGAACAGTGGTCAAATTTACCCTTTTTGAATCGTATCATCATCATCATGAAGAATGAGGATCTGGCAAAACTGCTCCACAAATACTTAACTAGCGGGTCACTTTTGCCGCAGCACACTAAAGTTTCTTTACAAGAGAACTTAATTACGAAATCCAAATCGTATGATTCATTGATTGGTGGTAATCACGACTCATTATCAATTACTAATAGGTTATCCAACTTCAAGCGGTTCCACAATGAGCCATCCAATGCAACGGAAGATTATTCTGAGCCAGAACCACAGCTGTTTAATGCATACGAAGATTTAAGCAAAATGGGGATCGATTTATCAGACTATAATGATGATGATCAGATGCAAGAATTAATTGAAGACTCAAAAGGTAATGGAGGCCTTAAGAGAACAAAGTCTTTGACTAAGACGCTTTTCAAACCTGACTTAAAAGTCAATACACAAGCCGCTAATACTCAGACTTCACGTTCGAAAATATTACCTAGTCCAACTATAACACTAGATGAAACATTTTAGTTATAGCATCTCTCAAATATATAAATACTATGGTATAGTCTATATATTATATGTATATTATATTGTATACAAATTTATTTGCAGTTGAGTAGTGGACCGCGCATAATTTTTACCAGGTCAAAAAGTTGGTTAAATAAATGAACAATCAAGGAGAACTAGACAGTCGTTAATTAAAACAGCAATGAAATTTTCCAGTTGCTTAGCATTGCCCTTACTTGTTTCATCAGTATGGGCTACGAAGAATGATGCAGCAGTTTATCAATTGAATTCTCAAGAATCAAGTAAAGCCCCTGTTGTGACTAACAAAGATGTCTTGCTCTACTTATCAGATAGGTTTGATATTTCTGATTACTATAAAATAGGTGATAATAGAGACGAAGTCATCGAATTTATTGATCAACAGAATGAGCTTATCAACTCCAAAAACACTGACAATGCTAAATTACTTGTGTTGATTAATGGAGTTTCGAACCCAAATGAAGTTTTCCAATCCATTAAACCAGCATTTAAAATAAAGGGATCTAATGGATATTTAATCCATTCTATTATGACCAAATTTCCAAAACAAATTGCAACTATTGGTAATTACAGTTATATCCCTTTAACTAATGAAATTAGACTAGTATCTAAACATCATCAAGACAATTCATTGTTGAAGCATTTCGAATATTTTAATGAAAAGCTCGTGGGAATTTGGAATTCATTTACAAAGACTGTGGAAACTGATAATCAAATCATCTTAACTAACAAGGTTCACCAAGACGCTACTACATTGAAGTTGATTAATGACAAATTGTTTATAAATGAATTATCACAATTAGTGCACTTGAATGCAGTGGCGCCAAATAGTGGTGATTCTATGTTTATCAACTTGAATTCATTATTCTCTCTTGGTAAGAAGACTGGATATGATTCGGAAACTTACAATCTTTCAGTTAAAGTATTATCAGATTACTTGGTTGCGTTATCAGCTAAATATGATATTTCTGTCATTGCATTACCTGTTGATAACAACAACAAACACTTAAGTAACCACTTACAAAAGAGAGGTCAAGAGCTAAACGAAATTTTCAAAGAAAGTAATGTCAACAAGAGAGCTTCCAATAATGGTGTATGCTTTTCTTCTGAAGATGCGTGTAAAGTTGGCACTTCAAGTTGTAATTCCCACGGAAAGTGTGCCAAAGTTAAATCAGGATGTTGGTCCTGTGTTTGCGCTGCTACTCTTAATGAAGCCAAAACAAAGACTACTAACTGGTCTGGCTATGATTGTAGTAAAAAGGATGTTTCATCAGAAGCCAATTTGCTCTTGTGGACAACTTTAGCTTTGTTGATTTTATTTATTGGTGGTATAAAATTATTATACAGCGTCGGTAATGAATCATTACCTGGTGTTTTAGGAGCTGCTACCGTTTCTAAAAAGTCACAATAAACCTTTCTTGAATATTAGTTTTTTATAAAATATATTAGTTAGTTATTTATGCCAATAGATTTTACAAGGCCGAATACAGTAATTTTTTTGTACGCGATAAACATGGTACGAGCTATTCAAAAATTCAAAAAAAGGATCTGCTTTGGTTTCCAATCATACAAGTCAAGCAATTATGAAGTTTACTAGGAAATCACTTGTTTCAGCATTCATGCTGTTATGTGTTATCTGTATAATATATTTTATGTCCTCCTCCTCGTCTGAGGGATCACTAGGCAAATCCTCACCAATTAATTTAAGTAAGAACAATGACTACTATGACTTCAAAAATGAACAGAGCAACCTAAAAGTTCCAGATTCAAGTAACGACGAAGTAGATAACCCAGAAGTAATTAAGAGGCCTTCTAAGCAATCCAAACAGTCAAAAGAAGAAGTTCCAGACGACGATATTATTCTTGAAGCAACTAATGTCCAATTCACAGAAACTCCCTTTATGCCAAAAATGGCTAATGAGACATTAAAGGCACAATTAGGAAATGCAGCCTGGAGATTGTTCCATACCATATTGGCAAGATACCCAGACGAACCTAGCAAGCAAGAGCAAACCACATTAAATCAATACATTCATTTATTTGCTCAAGTCTATCCTTGTGGAGACTGTGCAAGACATTTCCAAGGACTTTTATCTAAATATCCTCCTCAAATTAAGTCTAGAAAAACCGCTGCTTTATGGGGCTGTCATATACATAATAAGGTGAACGAGAGACTAGAGAAGCCTGAATATGATTGTACCACAATTCTCGAAGATTACGACTGTGGGTGTGGAAGCGATGAAAAAGAAGATGACAAGACTTTAGGAAATGAAAACATTGAACATTTACGAAGTATTAAGGTTAATGAAAAAGAAGAATCACCTCAACTCGGAGGTTGAGTATGAGCATAACATATATTCTGAAAAGAAAACCATACTAATGACTCAACGAAGTAATTCACTTTAAATGCCCTTTATTAAATATATATATATAATAATATACTAAACTATTGTGCAACAATTTGAAGCATCAGAATTTGCATGTCTCTGCTTTCTAAACCTTTCGTACTGCTTGAACTTATTCTGCTCGGGAGGCAACTTCCAGAGACTTGGAATTATATAGTCTGGTGTATCCTGAACGTAATTAGATATTCTAATAGTTAGTCCTTATCTCTAAGAATTTTTAACTGCGATATAAATACGTACAATAATGAAGCATTAGAAGCAGGTATTCTGTCTCGCAAAAGTGCTTCTTTCAACCTTGAATTGAATTCTTGAATTCGCCTTAATTTAATTTCGGCTATCCTGCTAGAGAGTGCTTCTGGTTTGTCCTCCATATTTATCCTTAGTTTGTAATATCTCTTTATATTTTTATTAGTATGCTTCTTATAAATTTACTTGAAGGGTTCATTCACACATTTGCAAAACTGCATGCCGCATAAATAATGGTATGTGCGATTAGTGGTATATATACTTAAATAGTTATACAGAATAATCCACATACGTTGCCGTCTAATTATGATGTTATATAAGACAATTGGAAGTATTCCAGTTGATAAATACTAGGTACTAAATGCAGATGTATCCATAAAAGAGGTCGATGCTTCTCACATATTATTATCGCTCGGTAGATCTCAGGCTCGAAGATATATACTTGCTTTTCATAATAAGCACATGTAACAATATTGATTAGAAGAAAAACAATATCAAAATGCAAACTGCAATAACTGTAGCCAATATTAATGTATCTCTTTTTCTCCGGGTATTAATTCGAGAAATAAGCACATTTATGCCTGGTATCAGCAGGACAGCACCCATCATCCTCAGTTGGGCATTATTCAAGTAAGCTCTTTGACTGTAGAGCTCATCTCTAGTATTATATGCCTGTTGCAAGAGTCTTTCCGCAAATGAATTAGCGTTGTCTGCTCGAACTCTCTCGTCCAATATGTAATCATTGGCGTTCAAATCACGGTTGTTTGAATTATTTGATGATCTTTCTCTATGTGCATTGATGTCAGATCTTACCGAAAACAACAAGTTATTTCTATTCCTTTCTTCGTTTATAACACCTTTGATTTTGGCATATGACCGCTTATGCTCGCTCAATATTTCTTTATGTCTTTGGAGTTGTTGTAACTTGGACGTGGACAAATTCGTGTCTGTTTCGGATATTCTATTCAATGTATTTATAACATTTTCCCGTTTCTCTAAGTTTTCGGATATGGAATCACTGAGTTCATTTTCTTCGTCACTTGAGTTTGTATTAGATAAGTTTTGAAATGCAGAATATCGTGATAACAAACTATCAGCCTGTTTTTCTAAACTCAACGCATGCGACCTGGTTTGTGTAAATGTTGCTGATGACATTTTGATTGGTTCTATTCTGTTAAAGTATGTCAGACAAGGTGCTTTTCATTATGGTTTATCTGTTGTTTATGAACAGTGTTATATACAGTACTCATACTGAGCCAATAAATTAGTATCTCATTATGATTACACCTCTTTATATTTACGATATATGGTAAATATATCAAAATGGAAACGCCAATTGAACTTAAAGAGATAACACCTGAACCGATGACATTAGAGGATTTAAATCTAATAGCGAAGGAGAAAGGAGTCCCGAATTACAAACCGCACAAACGTAATCCTATACTTCTGAAAATACTCTTCTACCTTCTCAAGGTGCAAAAATATTCAGCATATACGTTTTCAAGTTTTCTCGGGTTACATTTAACATCTGTGGTTATAGTTCCAGGCTTAGGCGTACCTATGCTACTCGGACAAGAAATATTTGAGATGAGCAGAGCTGTGTATCAGTCTATTCCGTACTTTGAGAATCTTGTAATCATTGGATCAAGTGTTTGTCATATTTTCTCTGGTATAGGGATCCGGATAATCAGAAATTACATTAAGAGCGGTCAGAATCATCATTCCAAATTGGTGCATGAGCCAGTAATCAAAAATGACGAAAGGGATGATATCGGCTTAGGTGGTATCACAGGATTAATCGGATTGGGTTATAGAAAGTCCATGATATCAAGACTCATACCAGGATTGAGTCCGTTACTGTTTTCAGGGTATTTATTGCTTCCATTAATAGGGTACCATTTCACGAAATTCAGGCATATTCCTAACGTTATTGATGGTGATTCAAGCTTGATTAACTTGGAATATATTACATACTACTTAAACAAATCACCATTAGAAAAGGTCGGAAATGCCATAAATTACATTGCTCTAATGGGCTTGGTCGTAGTAGGATCTTACCATTTTGTCAGTGGCTTCTTGAAATTAAACCATAAATATAGCTTGAACTATAAAAAATTAGGATACTCATTCATTGGTGGACTCAGTATATTGGGGTGCATCAGTCTCGTAAGATTCAAGAGCTTGCCATTGGCAGAAGGATTCATAGGAAAACTGTTTACTAATTACGTGAATTATTTAGCAGTATAATGCTTGAACCAATAAATTCGGACAGATCTCGGCTTTCTCATTAGAATGATTCACTTGGACTAGTTCTACCACATCGCACCTACACATAACTCAATTCACTCTCTGCCAATAGCGATGTTAATGCATAAGCTTTTCGCTCAAAACAGTGAGAAGAATAGTAGAAAATATACAATAAGAAGCGCTTTATTGCGAGATACAAACACCACCAAAATATTGTGCTGATTGCACAAACTATCACACCAATACCTAACTCGTATATTATTAGGCTTCAATACACATAATCACTCCTATTACGTCTCTCTCTCTCCAACTACAAAGTATCCCCATTAATAAGCATATATTCCATATAAATCTCTTAATATACACAGCTCTTGGTCAAATGATCTATTATGTGGTGATAGTTTCCGCTTGAGCAGCTTCAGGTCCTAATGTTGGTTGTTTAACGCTTCTCTTTGATCTGTAGTCCTTAACGGCACTCTTAATAGCATCTTCGGCCAACATAGAACAATGCAACTTCACTGGAGGCAATGACAATTCCTTTGCAATAGCGGTGTTCTTAATCTTTACAGCTTCTTCTATAGTCTTACCCTTGACCAATTCTGTAAGGTATGAAGATGAAGCAATGGCTGATCCACAACCAAACGTCTTGAATTTCACATCCTTGATAACTCCAGTTTCTTCATCAACTTGAATTTGTAATCTCATAACATCACCACATGCTGGAGCTCCAACCAATCCGGTACCAACATCCTCATCGAGCTTATTCAATGTACCGACATTTCTAGGGTTTGAATAGTGATCAAGCACCTTTTCGTGATATAATCTCTTAGTTGGGAGTGCCATAGATGGCATCATATTAACTCTATTAACTGCTGGCATAACCCTTCTAGCTGGGTTAGCTAATCTTAAAAATGATCTACTAATCATCGTTATTAATTATTAATAATTTTGAATTATGTTAACGTATAATGAAAGATAACGTTTTTATGTAAAATAAGTCTTTTACTGACGGTGGAGCCTTTATATATGAAGATAATTATTAATTTCTTCGGATATTACATAATGAAAGTTCCGACATTATGTAATTGGTCATATGGGGAGTGATGGCTTATGTAAACCATTTGAGATTGGAGCATATGCTCAGAACACTCCCAAGAGCAATGTCGCGATCCCGGTCATTTTCGAGACATTAGCTTGGACACTAAGCAATGTCGTATTGATGGGATGTACAGGACCTCCTGATTGGCGTGGAATTGGCAGACGTTGCACAAAGTCCTTTGATGATAAGTGCATACGGAATAATACAGAAGGTATAAGCTGAAAGAAGCCACCAACTAAAAACCAGTGGTCGTATTGCTAAAGCTAGCCATCATTAGTTGCATGGTATAATCGGAATATAGCCGACTATATCGACATTGCTATTCAAATAAATAGAATTCAAATACCAAACAAACCGGATAAGCCTAGTCAGCGGTTAAATCCAGCCAAGACATAACAGTGAAGTTATTCGAAGACAGTAAGCAAAAACTAGAGTTGAGAATTTGAAAAAGGATTGATCAAACTGTAATATCGATTGGAATTGTACTGGCAGGTCATAATATGGCAGATCAAGTAAGTAACGAATATGATACCGGGGTATCGAACGGGGATGTTGATTGGTTATTTCGAGGCAAATCGAAGAAGCTAACAAAGAAAATGAACAATTGCTCTGTGTCGGGGGATAAAGAGAAGAAGGGTGGTTTGTCTGATGATGGGGGTGCATTTGAAAAAAGAAATGAGGGAGATAGCAGAGATAGTGAAGAGAACAGCAGAAAGGCATCTGAAAAGCCTGCTGGACATTCTTCGTCAGATCTCTTGTCACCGCCACAGGAACAGCAAGTAAAAAAGGATCACGATCTGCCTAAAACTACACAATTGAAGCAGCAATTGCCGCTGCAACCACAACCACCACCTGAAAAGAAGAAGTTGGATTTGTTCAAATTGGGTGGCAGATCAAGATCATCCTCTACTGGAAGCACAAATTTAGAAAAGTACGATATATCTCTAACGCATGTTCCTAAAAGAAGGAGTAGTGTTGCTGTATCACCAGTACCTTCTCACTCTTCAGGGTCGAGCACTACACATTCTGCAAGTGCAAACGTACTGGATTCACTGGATAACTCCCCGGGTGTTTCGCGATCAAACTCAACATCGGGAAAAAGGTCGCTTTTCAGTTCTATATCTGCCAAATTCAAGTCTAATTCGGCAGGTTCTGCTTCGAGCCAATCGTCTAATAATGTATCTCCTACAACATCCAAATTGAACCCCAACTTGTTAGGAGCTTCATATAATAGTAATAACCCGCCATCGCAAGATCTTACAACGTTGGTGGATAAGCCTCCTTCTGGTATACCTGTTAATTCTAGACGAAAGAATTCTATTCAAGCATTTAAATCATCACATCAACAACCTAGTAAATCAGCAGACAATAAGGTTGTATCGAATAAGAAACTGAGCAAATCTGATAACCCATTAGATGAATTAAATAATATTAAGTTGAGAAGAATTACATTTGCTGTTGATAAATTAGCCTTTGATCCCCAGCAGCAAATTCCTTCAAGACGCCCTAAAAAAGGGAATGTATTGATACCTGAAGATATAGTTGCACCACCACCTAGACTTTCTCAAGGTATTTCATTGAGTGACACGAATGGGAATAAGACTAATGCTCAACCAGATAATAAATATTCCGAAAAGGAACTAAGTCGAGCCATTGAGGCACAAAAAAGGGCTCTTATAGAGGCTGAGAAACATGCTGATGAAGCGCACTTATCAGCTAGAAGGATTGCACATGAAGTCAGTACTTTCAGACAGAGAAGAAACTCGAAGCAAAAAGAAGAGGAAGAAGAGGAAGAAGTAGATAAATCTTTCTCGCATGACATGGAGAATGTTGAAATTGATAAACCACTACATGTTCATGAAAACCACTTTGATAATATGGATCCTGCTGACCAAGAAGGTTCGGGACATAGCCATACGGATCTTGAAGAAAAGAATTTAATTGAAAATCTTTCTTTGGAAACTATATACACAAGATGTTGCCATTTGAGAGAAATTTTGCCAATACCTGCAACACTAAAACAATTGAAAAACAAGACCAAACCTCTACCAGTATTGAAATTATTGAACCCAAAACCAACTTTGATCGACGTTTTATCATTTAGTGATTTCATCGCTATTACACCAATTAATACTGTCATATTTGATAACGTTACGATGACTACTGAAATGTTACAACATTTTTTATCTTCATTAGTTAACAACAATTTCGTTGAAAAGTTATCCTTGAGAAACGTTGCAATTGATGAAGTTGGTTGGAAATTTCTTTGTAAGTTTCTTTCAAAGAGCCAGAGTATTAAAAAGTTAGACATTTCACAACAGAGGATTAAGTCAGATACAAAGAAATCATGTATCAGGTCTTCAATGAACTGGAATCTTTTTATTCAATCCTTGATCTTGAGGGGTGGGATTGAGGAATTGGTTATAAATGGGTGCAAATTATCTGATGAAACTTTTAAAGACTTGATTGAAAATGCCGTCAGACTATCCACGTATAGATTAGGTATAGCGTCAATCGAGTTGAATCAGTTCAAGGCAAATATTGTTGCAGATTGGATTACGGATGAAAAATCTAAATGTGTTGGTGTTGATATTGCATTCAATGATTTGAGCAAGGGACAGTTGATTCCGTTTATAAATGCATTTTATAAGGGAAATCTGAAGTTGATATTTTTTTCATTGAATTCGACGAAATTAACCGACATAGACCAAGCGTCGGAATTGATTAGATCCTTAAGTTATGTTAAAACTTTGAGGTTTTTAGATCTAAGCTCGTTGCCTGATTTATTCCCCGGAATCATTTCGAGGCTTAAAAAGTATTTGCCTCAATTCCCTTCCTTGAGAAGAATTCAATTTGATTTAAACGAATTGTCTAGTTTGTCGATTGGCGCTATTGCTGATATATTGCCAAAAATAGAAGGATTGGTTCATGTGTCTTTCTTAGGTAATAAAGATATTAATCATGGATCTGCTGCTACCTTGTACACTGCTGTCAAATTATCAAAATCGATATTCACCTTGGATTTGGATTACGACTTAATTCCGGATGCATTATCTCAAAGAATTGCTTTCTATTTGATGAGAAATATGGATAAGAGTATGAATTCGGACGGAGTCATTAATAATTCTGAAAATGCAAACGAAGAAGAATTGATGTTCGATGGTTCTTTATTGATGGAAACAGCTGAAAAATTAATAATCGAAAACGATAAGAATGCAGACACAAAGGTTGACTTAAAGATTCAAAAGATCATTACAAATGCGTTGATTGAAAGAACAAGGGCGGTAAGAACAGATCTTCATCAGAATATTGATAATTTGTTTCAGAAAAGAAATCAAGGAACCTTGTCTCTTGAAGATAAGGAGACTTTATTGAGACTTTGTTTACTTGATGCCTCTTTAGAAAAGGTTGTGCATATGTTCGAGGAACGTAGTAAAGCTTATAAAACAGGTAATAGCCCATCTTTACAAGCTAGTCCATCACCATCATTTAAAATTAGTGATGATAATCCTAATAATTCTCAAATCGTACAGAATTCTGAGGGAGCTACAAAACACGAACAAATCAATCCTGCTACAGTTACTAATAGCAATTTGAAAATTGATTTACAAGGGCGTGATGCATTGCATGAAAATTCTAATGAATTGATTACGGCTGGTCCAATCTTGTCTCCACAAAATGTGGAACGCTTAAATATACCAAGTTATTTTCCATCTACGGAACAAACTTTTCAACCTCATCAAGTTGTTATTGATTCGTCGTCCGATGGGAGGAACGTACCTATTGATAACTTAACGGGTAGACCTGTTTTAATGAAATCTATTTCGCAAACATCACTCCATGCCAAAGAATTAGAACAAGAAGAGGGTGAGTTACACAGATGGGGTGTTTTCATTGAACAAAGGAATAACAGTGAAAATGACTCGACTAAAATAACTGATCCTAAAGCTAACACGGATTCACAACAACAGAACAAGCGTGAAGTGCCAACTCTTAACGTTTTACCTTCGGGCTCTGAATTAAGAGATGCTATCATTGCGGCAAAAGGTATCGAATCTATCACCGATCTAATTGATAACATTAATGACAATAGAATTAGCATTGAAAATATTTACAAAATAGAAGATATGTCAGGCCAGTCACATAATGAAAAATTACGAACAAGCAATCCAGACATCAATTCACAACCGTCATTACAACAGACTAACAGATCTGCACATTTAAAGCAAGGATCCTTACCTTACAAGGAAGATAACGGTTCGATTGATTCGATGGAAAATCAAAAGAGTTGTGAAAGTAGTTGTGTGAATCAGTCAAACAATACTTGTAATTGCCAAGATCAAAGGGATAATGCTGTTGTCGATGAAGTTTATGATAAGCTTTTAAATGATGCCCAAAGGGTTAGATCTAACAAACAGGAGTAAATAAGATTATTTTAGTACAATAAATATAAGTAATAGTACTACAAGCTTTATTAGAAAATACCTTATAAGATTGATCCTATAAAAAGATATATACTAGAAATCAAAATTAAAAATTATTATAATTCAATAAATTAGACATTACAGAATTAAATAACTTATTGAGAAGCCTTGAAAGCAGCAATCTTGTCAGCAATCTTTTGGTCTCTTTCGGCCTTAGATAACTTAGTTTGTCTGTATTTCTTAGATTCAGCAGCGTATTGTTCCTTGGTGAATTTCTTTTCGGTTGGCTTGAAAGATGGGTCTTCTCTGATCTTTTCATGAGCGTTCATGTATAATTCTTCGACATCTTCAGCTTCAATTTCATCGTCAAGGTAAGACTTGAATAAGGTTCTGAATTTTTCTTCATCATCATCCATTAATTCTTCCATGTATTCAGCGACGTGACCACCCATGATGTACTTTCTCAATAATTCAGCATCTAATTCTTCACCTTCGATATCCCAACCTGGGAATCTGTTTGGAGAGTGTGGAACGTATAAACCACCGTCAGAAGCACCCTTTAAGACACCGAAAACTCTGGCACCAGTGGTGGTTCTTTGTAAACCGATATCTAAGAAAGCCTTGAATGGTCTTGGGCCATCTTCAACAGCTTCAGTGAGTTCGAATTCACCTTCGACTTCTTCGACACCCTTGTAGGTTTCGTCTAAGCCTAACTTTTGTAAAGCTCTTCTGGCAACTAATAAACCAACAGCGTATGCAGCAGACCAGTTAGTTAAACCGTGGCTAATACCGTATCTTGGTAATTCGTGAGCGTAAGCAGCAGTGAAAACAACATCACCGGTGATTTGAGAAGAAACAATTTGGGCAATGATGTCTTTGTTAGTGAATCTAACAACTAATCTGTACTTTGGAGTGTTGTACTTAGCCTTGTGTTGAGTGACTAATCTCTTTCTTTGGTAGTAGTCAGTCTTACCTTCTTGTCTTCTACGGAAAGGAGTTTGGAAACGGGAGTGGTAAGAGGAGCTCTTTAAAACTTGATCGAAAGGCATTTTCAGTTAGTTTGTTTTAATGTAAAGAACAAATTGAATGGATGTAAAACTGAAAAACTTTTTTTCACTAGTACTGAATTGAGTGAAAAATTTTTCGAGCCAAATATTTTAATGGTTTGTACACGATTATTTGGTTCTTCAGTGTGAGAAAAAGATATGCTTGTATTTACCCAGGTAATGCACTAATCAGTATGTAATTTACCGCTATTTTGCAATCATCAGTTTTAATGGTAGCATCTTACCGAATTTGAAAATAATACGGTCTTTCTACCTTGTATCGATAGCACATACTTAATGAGAAGAATTTAAACATTACATGTTGTATATAATTTGCGGTCATTAAAAATATATATAATATACATACATATATATAGATATATAACACATAGTGATCTAGCAAAGAGGAGGTCCTTCAAGATAACAA